CCAAGTCTTTTAATCCAGTCCTAGATTTTTCAACAAATCGCAACCAAAGCCACGCAGAAACATTTTATGGAATCTAAAAATTCTAATTATTGAAATTATTAAAAAAGTTAACATTAAGAACCTAAACTAGGCTTTGTTTACACGACAACAATGTAGCCAAAAACGCAAATGCTTTTTCTTTGCATTTTAAAAATGTTTCCTATTTACACATTTTAAAAATAATCAGCCTTTACACATTTTGGCTACATCTACGCTAATCTAGATAAATGTGAAAACATTGTTTTTGTCTCAAAGCGCTCCATGTACACAATATCGTATTAAATTATTTTCTAAAAAAATCATGCACACTAAAAACATAATCCTTAGTCGTTAATTTATTATGGAGGAACAAGGATTAAGACACTTTTATCAGACGTTTATTTACTTTCCATCTCTTTGAAACATGGCTAAATGTCAAAGAAAAATCACAGATTTTTTTTTTAAATAGGCTGACAGTGAGGTAGAGTTGTTGCTGAGGCAATAAGGAACATGTACAAATTGAAATTAATGTTTGATAAGGCTGTTAAAAAAAACGGGCAGCATCCAAAACATCTGCCTACATGTCCACCGTGATAGCAAAATTGGTCACATGAATGCGTCACACAAGTAAAATTTTAGAATTTTCGAAACGCAGTCTCAGTCTTAACAAAAGGTCGAAACGAAAAGAAAACTATGCGTTTTAAATGAAAACATATTAGTGCGGACATGGCATTAAACAAAAAATCAGGTGAGCACATACAAAAATAAGGAAGAAAACGTTTTTGAAAATCTTATATGTTGCACTATAACTGTTATGAACAGTCAAAACCATAACTTTTTTGTGTAAATGACCCGTTGTCACTAAAACAAGGCTTCTGAATTCCACATTTCTACATTTACTTGCAGTAACAGTCAATGCACTAATTGTACAGGACTTTACATATTATACATAAAGTCATAGAATTTTTTAGTCCTAGCTTAAGGAAACATTTTGTTTATAAAAACAAACAATTCAACTAGTATTTTTTTCATTGCAGTGAGATATCTGTGTGACTTTTATCCAACAGGCATGTACCAGAACAGGCCATCTGTGACCCCTTGAGTGAAGATGACTCTCATCTAGTCGCCGTTCGCCTCGAGAACAATTTCATTGACCCACGAAAAATCCCACCCACGGCTTTCTCCTGCGTCCGCTCCTACTCCAGTGTTGTTTTAAAGCCTCAGAGGATTAAGTAACTGGAATCTTATCTGTTATTATTATAAACCACTAAAGAAGTAAAAACAGATTTGAGTCCTGCGAAGATGCAGTTATCATGAATATTATTTTATGGGGGGGGGGTTCAAAAATGAAAACGCTACCAAACAATTCATACATTTGAATCTCTGTCTGGCATGTCTTGCTTTATTAGCTTTAATAAGCTTGAATTTGAAGTCTGATGAGACTGGACTTGATCACCGCCTCGAGGATCATGGCAGAACGCCCGCGTTTTTCTCCACCTGTCTAGACGTGTCTTTATAGAGTGCATGGATCAACTGTACAATACTTCAAGAGGGAAAAAAGTAACAGACTGTAACTTTATGAACTATATCGAGATGTATCTTATTCTTGTAATAACAGTATTAAGTTTGTCTGTCATATAGTGAAGAAAAACAGGATGCATGGCTTTTTCTTAAGTCTTCGTAAAAGAAAGCTGCCAACATCAACCTGCTTACATAATGCGTTTTTCTACCAAGACAGAACCAATAAGGACGTTTACTACTGAATGAACTGTGACGCATAATGGAAGCATACCTACATGGTTCAAGTCATTTAAATGACCATGGATTTGTATTTGTGTAGTTTAGATTTCAATGTAGCATCAATAAAACCCATTTTCCTAAATGTCTTGTAAGTCTTTTATTCACACCGCTGCTAATTTTATGCGAGTTAAATTAAGCTGAGACTTCCTAAATTTAATTCCTTTGTTAAAATAAGCCCGTTTAAAACATCTGCGATCTATAAACGTTACTGTGCTAATGGAAATGCAGCAAAATCACACTAATGACCTCAGTAAATGATCTGACTATGACATCATAGTCTTCAGCTCCTTCTAAGATTTTTCGAAGATATCGCTCTATTATGGCTAGTGAAACGGGAGATGATTACTGAAAAAATACCTCTGAGGGTGAACTTGGGTTTTGATGACTTAAAAAAAGTGAAAGAATAGACATAAAAACCCTGAAGGGGATCTGCTCAGAAGCTTTCCATGCTCCAATGACTCATGTACGGGTCACATGCTTTTTATTTATTGTTATTTTGAGGGTAAATCAACAGCTGAACCGCCTACTCCTGGTGTCTGGACGCAGTTAAATGTTGCTCTATATTTAGAGAACAAGCAAAGATGTAGAAAGCCACCAACTAATCAAGATTCCTCAAGTGTTCAAAAGACCAAAACATTGCATTACAGCAAACGCAGAGCACAAATGATGAAGAAATTAACAAAAGACTAACAGGAATGGTATCGGTACTTTTTTAAAGCACATCCACACATTTCTATGGTTCCTAAACAAAAGAAATGCAAAAGCCTAAAGGTAAACCTAACTAGGAATGCATGGGCCGGTATAAGATTCTGACAGTATGTCTGGGTAAAAAACAAAAACTTTTTTCCCTTTTTGAATATAATATATTTTATTTTGAGAAATATTTAAAATATTTTGGAACAGTAAACATCCCAGCAGGAACAGGATGTCAACATGACGTCAGATTGATGTTGTACTCCTACGTCGTGGGGACATTGCATTTTGCCTGGAAATTCAAACTGGATTGACATCAGAACCCAACGTCATGTCGAAGGCCCAAGCTAAAATCAACCCAATTTAAACGTCTAATTATGTTACAGCTTGCCATTGTGTGGACGTTACCACTATGACATCAGACGATGAATTTTGGTTGCCATACCTGACAAATAAATGTCAGTACTTGACATCAATATGACGTTGGGTTAAGATGTTGGCCCGATGTTGGATTTTGGTCACTTTCCAACACAACCTAAAATCAACCACATATCATTTGACGTCGTTATTGGACATTAAATTAAAGTTGTCCTTAGACGCTGGCTTGACATTGAATTTGGGTCACCTGACATCATGACATACATATAACCGGATATTAACGCCTTATATTGTGTGCCTGCTGGGATGTAAGGCTAAATACTTCAAATAAATCTTTAAATCAATCATTCTGCTGTCTTAATTTGTTTCAACACAGATTTCTGTACAATTTAAAATGGAATATTTGGATATTTTTCGGCTAGAGACACTGTTGTCCTAAAAGACAAAAACAAAAACAAAAATTAATAATAAAAATGATATGGCAGAAAATTTTAGCGGTTTTAAAACCTTGACTTTTCCAAACCACAATATACCTTGAAAATGGTTATTGTCTCATGTCTAAACCTAACATATTACATTTAAAGTGATTTAATCGAAGTAGAAACAGTTTTATTTAAAAATGTTTCATTAATTTTAAGTTTTAAATAACACTTTACATAATGTACACTGTTTTAAACTAATTATACAGAAAAAAAGTTAATAACAAATTACCAATCAACCAATTTAATTAAACATTTTTCACCCCATAGTCTCATAAATTGTTTCAATTCAATCTATTCCTCTACCCAAACTCTATCCCTAAACCCAACCCTCACAGGAAACAATCTGTGTTCATTCTGTGGGATTTATGAGCCATTTGCCTCATGGGAACCAATCAAATATTCCCACAAGGTCAAAATTTCCTGGTATTGCTAGTTTTGTGTGGACATTTGGTCCCCACTATGTGAGGAATACAAAGTACACACACATAAAATAACTTTTCTGGTGGGATAATAAAAAAGTAAAAAGCAGCGAAGCTGTGGAAAACCGCCAACACATCTCAAGTGTTTCCACAGTTCAATCATTCCCATCATGGTTTCCCAAATCATAACATTACAACAAATAAGGATGAGGTAAAAATACAATTAAAATAAATGGATTATGGGAAATTAATGGTATTTCATCATCGCTTCTACCTTTACTCCATCCAGTTCACCATCACATGAATAGAGTTTGTAATAGTATCTACATCCTTTTAATTTACGGCACGAACTCAACATACCACAAACATTTATTGGTTTGAGGTTAGTTATCATTTCGGAAGGAATGTTGGCCAGTGAGACTCAGGAGAAACCATGAGACATAGGAACTTCCATCATCTCCAATCCCCCAGCCAAAACCCAAGCATATGTGGCGCCACCAGTACTGCCCCGTGAATAGAGAGGGGTCGCGTTTTGTGCTGCCGTAAGCAAACAGCACCATAAAGTCTGGAAAAGTTATTATCCGACGTTTAGTTCTAGATTAAAGGCCCCCTGTTACTTGGGGATTACTAGATTTCGTCCCACGAACATGATTCAGTCATGATAACATGCACACTTTCCTTCCTAAAAAGTGAACAATGCCATTTGTGAACTGACGTGATTTCTGGCAGCTTGAATCGATCAGTCATCCCAAAAGAGTCTGCAGGGATTCATCTTACATCAGGCAGAAAGACTGACTGATGTCTAGATTTGAAGGTTTTTCCCAATGTGGATTCAAGATCAATCCTATTTATCACATTATACTATTATCAGTCGTTACATCCCAAGAATTGGTGTGTGATCTAAAAATAGGAGCCCTAACATAGCCTCCCAAATTATGCAATATTACGCACTCTGAAACCTTTGGATACGTCAAAAAATCCGGCAAGTAGCAGCCACCCATTGGCATTGTAAAAGAATGAGAGTATCCCAGACTGGCCATTGAAAATTTTAGGCGTACAAAATTGGCCGAGATTCAAATGCTGATGAGAAACATACGGCCGGTAACAATGAGTGTTCAGAGCTGCTCGAGCATCCAGCAGAGCTGCGTGCAGTTCCTACCCCTTATTCTGAATCCGCTCCTTCAACCAGCAGCATCTTTTCCATGCCCATTCATTCAGGGATCTCATGCTTTGACGAGCGTGATCTCCACCTTTCGGGCTTTCGTGAGCGCTGCATTTAAAGACCTGTGCCTCAACAAATCCTGACGGCAATACTGAGCTCATCCCTGGAGGCTTACTTGAACAAGGATTACACAGATTCTTCAGGTACATTGTCTTCATATTATATTTGCGTGAAGTTTTATTTATTTATTTTTTTTAGAAAAAACAAACAAACATCTGAATATATTACTCAAGAGTGTACTAATTGAAACTGTGATGATTAAGAATTTGCTGAGAAATACACAGTGCTGAGTAGTTTTAAGATTATTGTAGCTGCGCAAATTCTTATTTTACATAATTTTTACTTAATTTTACCAAATGATGAGTGAGATTTCCATTAAATGTCATGTGGGTGGCGTCAGAGAAAATGAGCAACATTAACAATTTGTGAAGGTCCATAAACTGTGAGCCACCTTCTAGTATCCTGATGACTAAGGCGCCTATAAACAAGATTGCTCTATAAACAATTGTTTAAGTGCAGCTGGTTCATTTTAGATCGTTTATAAATGGCAACCGCAATCATTAACATTTTCCCTTCATAGATGTTTAATTAATGCTACTGAACTAAAGCTAGTTGGCTATATTTGTGTGGCTGAAATTTGCCTGTGACTTCAAAAAAGATTTGTATTTACTGTAAAGTGCTATATTAATATGGAAATGTCAGTCACAAGTCTCGTTAAACATATTCCCATTGACTTATTCCATTGGAACTCTAATTAGTACACCAATAATTCAATTTATGTGAACATCTATCTTTATGTTACAATTAGAAAAAGCCGATTCTTAAAAATAAAGATTCTTCACTGACATTGATTAAATTTTACAATTTTTTTTAAGTCATTCTTTAAGTTCAACAGGATCTTTGCGCAACTTAAGAGGTTCTTCAGTGACCCTGCTGCTAAAACAACATGCAATTTGATGGTTTAACGCAAAAATGCCGAACTTGACATCTACTTATGTTCATGTTGACAGGACTAAACCCCCACCATGAAGGTACTTTTACTACTCGCCCTACTAACGTTATGTAATGCAAAGCCATACAAACATATCAACGTCATGGAGTTCATGAAGCATCATGACATCATGCAACAAGACGCGGGTGATTTTGATGATGATGATGACGACGACGATGACGACGATAAAGATTATGATGATTACGATGATAATTTTGTTACGGACTGTCCTGAAGGATGTCGGTGCTCAAAGAAGGTTCTCCAGTGCTCAGATCAGGGTAAGCACTTGAAACTACTTTAAAAAACTACACTGTAAAACCCAAAAAGTTAAGGTAACTCAAACCACTTGAGGAAACCGATCGCAACAAACCATTAAAGTTTAAAATCCTAATGAGTACTGTGAACTTAATCCGTTTGAGTAAACGAAGCAACTTGGGCTTGGATAGAACCCAATAAATGAAGAGAACTTAAACCAACTAAGTACTGTAATATCCAAGTTAAGTCAAGTCAAACCAATTGCAAGAAACCATTTGAGTTAAAAAAAAAAATCTAAATGAGTACTGTGAACTTCAACTTTAAGTAATAAGATATTTAACTAACTCATTACCTTCAACACTGAGTTTAAAACTCTTTTCAAATGAGTAGAATTAATTTTCAGTCAATTTTGAGTTAACCACTGATTTCATTTGATAGAGTTGACTGTTGGGTTTTACAGTGTATTAATCATGAGTTGATGATTAAGTTTGGCTGCGATTAACAAGGTATTCATGCTGACATTATGTTGTTCTTCTATCTACAGTTGTTGACAATTTGTTTACATTTATTCATTTAGCAGATGCTTTTATTCAAAGTGACGTACAAGTGAGGATAAAAGAAGCACTTCAAATCCTCAGAGGGCAGCAATATTAAGCTTATTCTACACATAAAAGCGGACGCAGCCATTGGAAACTTACTGGCTCAAGACTTACGTTCTCATTTAACGCCCATTGATTTAAGCCATAAAAAAAGCTTGTCATGATGCTTGATGTTGCAAACTAGTATTTTGTAATAAAATTATTTTATTGTTATGTATATTCATAAACACGCTTGTTTATAGAGTTAGTAGTTCCATTTTGTATCATTTGTTATTCCTAGTCACTTCTCCAATAGGCAACTGAATCGAAAATCCTAAAACAAATCTCAGAAAAGATTGCACTTCTGCATTGTAGAATAAGGTCAATATAAATGCTGTGACGAGTCTAAGTTAGTTTAGAATATTTATTTTTTTCTCCTCTGTCAAGCTCATTCAAACTGTGAAAAGCACACTCAGAATTGCACAATGTTTTTCAAGAAGCATTGGGTTTTTATAAGAAGGTGTCTGGTGCATTTGGAGAGGAAAGAGTGCATCTCCTACTCAAGATGCATTAATTCCGGTGTTAAATATACATTGTTCTATTATCGTATCTGTTTTATATTTATGAACATGTCTAAGAATTCCATATGATCATTAGAAATAATTACATGAGGCTAATTTGGCATCTAATCTGTCAGGCAACCCACTGAAATTTGCAGCCTTGCACATTCCTACAAGAAAAAAAATGAAGTCTATAAAAATCTCACCGCCTAATTTTATAAAGACAATGTCGGCATTGTTTTTAAAATGCTTGTCTTTACAGGTCTGACCAAAGTGCCAAAGGACATTCCTGCAAACACGTTGCTCCTCGACCTTCAAAATAATGACATCACGGAAATTAAGGAAGATGATTTCAAAGGCCTGGATAATCTCTATGTGAGCAGCTGACACACTCTCTTCAATGCTTTTAGTGGGGTTTTAGAGCTGTGCTTTTATACTGGGTTTACACAAGGACATCTGGAGCCATGTATTGGTAGCGGGATTATGTGGAATTCTGGACACATATTTGAGTGTTATTGATATTTGCATTTACTGTGGACCGTTTCATGCTTGTGGTAAATATTTGCTCTTGATTAGTGGTAAAATGGTTAAATGTTCTTGCTGAGGCAAAAAAAAAATAAAAACTACCGAGGGCATAAAAAAATCAGAAACAGCCCACGTTGCAAAAACAACACGGACGGTAAATCAATTTCTTTTTTTTTTTAAAGAAAATTCCACAATGTTTAGAACTGAATACACAATAAATAGAATTTAGAACAATGAGTTAATTTGAATACAATAACGCCGTGGTCAGGCCAATAGTTTGGATTTTACTTGCTCTTATATCCAATTAATTCAATAAAAAGATTTTTCCTCCCAAATATTTCCCAAGTGATATTTAACAGAGCAAGACATTTCTCACAGTATTTCCTATAATATTTGTCGTCTGGAGAAAGTCCTATTTCTTTAAGTTTGGCTTGGAAATAACAGGTTTAAATTTTAAAGGCAATATTATTAGCCTCCTTAAGAATGAGCTTTTTTTTTAAATTACTGCCTAGTTAACTTAATTAAGCTATTTAAGCCTTACAATTGCAAATGAAGCTGAATACTAGAGTCTTGCAAAATAAATAGTAAATAACTATTATATCATGTCGTTATCATGACAAAGACAAAAGACATTAGGACTATATATTAGAAAATAATATACAGTTGTCAGAATTATACAAGTCAGAATTATTAGACCCCCTTACATTTATTTTTTTTCGTTTTTAAATATTTCCAAAATGATGTTTAACAGAGCAAGGACATTTTCACAGTATGTCTAGTAATATTTTTTCTTTTGAAGAAAGTCTTATTTGTTTCATTTCAGCTAGAATAAAAGCTGCTTTTAATTTTTTTTTAAACCATTTCAAGGTCAAAATTATTAGCCCCTTTAAGCAATTTTTTTTCCATAGTTTAGAGAATAAACCATTGTTATACAATAACTTGCCTAATTACCCTAACCTGCCTAGTTAACCTAATTAACCTAGTTAAGCCTTTAAATGTCACTTTAAGCTGTATAGAAGTGTCTTGAAAAATATCTAGAAAAATAATTATTACTGTCATCACGACAAAGATAAAATAAATCAGTTATTAGAAATAAGTTATTAAAACTTTTATGTTTATGTTTAGAAATGTGCGGAACAAATCTTCTTTCCATTAAACAAAATTTAGTGAAAAAAAAATAAACAGGGGGGCTTATAATTCTGACTTCAACTGTATGTGCATTAACAACTGGAAAGCTGGAAAAAACCTAGAAATAATGCAAATTAATACAAGCTTAGATTTTCAACCCAAATGTAAACTTGTAACTCTTGCAACTCTGTTTTAGAAAAGATTTAACATTTCTGACTACAGTCATGAACCTTAATTGCTTTCCCTTTCTTCATTTGCAGGCCTTGTTTCTGCTCAATAACCAGATATCCAAAATTCATCCAAAGGCCTTCCGCAACATGAACAAGCTCAAGATTCTCCACCTGTCATACAACTTGCTGACGCAAATGCCAGAGAATCTTCCTATAAGTGTTCAATCATTGCGACTGCACGACAACAAGATCAGCAGACTTCCAAAAGGAGCGTTTAAGGGAATGCATGACTTGAATGTTTTAGGTAGGTCTCCTAAGCGATGGTCTTAAATAAACATGGTCTGAGTCAGTTGGTACGCTTGCTTCAACAAGTTGAGCTGAAATGACTTGGAATACCATTTCTCCATCATGACCTCTCTGAATCTGCTTATATAATCAGATACATGATATTACACACTATTCATGCTTCATGCAAAAACAAGTATACTTCAGTCAACTGAGCGCCTTGATTCTCAGGTAACTTACAGATCATTAACATTCTGCCCTCTAGTGTCTACATTAAGATGTGCTCCAGTTTAAAAATAGGGCTGTAAACCAAAAGGTTGTTAGTTCGAAATCCAACAAGAAGTCGTCCACATCTATTTACTCATATTGTTCTGTCAAATGCATGCATGAACTGTGAGCCACCATCTAATATCCTGATGACTAAGGCGCCTATAAACAAGATTGCTCTATAAACAATTGTTAAAGTGTAGCTGGTTCATTTTAGATCGTTTATAAACGGCTAGCGCAATCATTAACATTTTCCCTTCATAGTTGTTTAAATAATGCAACTGAACTGAAGCTAGTTGGCTATATTTGTGTGGCTGAAATTTGCTTGTGACTTCAAAAAAGATTTGTATTTACTGTAAAGTGCTATATTAATATGGACATGTCAGACATAAGTCTCATTAACCATATTCCAATTGGCTTATTTCATTGAAATGCTAATTAATACACAAATAATTCAATTTGTGTGAACATGTATTGTTACAATAAGATAAAGCCTATTCTTCCCATTTCTTGCGCCTCTAGAACTGAGTGCAAATCCAATTACAAACAGTGGGATTGATGTTGGAGCTTTTGATGACATGGCAACCCTTTACTTAAGAATAGCTGAAGCAAAGCTCACAGCCATCCCTAAAGGTAAGTATTAAGATGTTCTATGAAAAAAAAGACCTTTACAGCTAACAGAAAGTCATCAAGATGAATTTGACCAAAAAAAAAAAAAAAACAACACATATAATACATATGTGTTCCAAAAAGTGTTTTTGCAACAATGGAGATAAAAAAACAACATTCTCTTTGGATAAAGAACCATTCAATAATCTGAAGAACATGTTTTTACAGTTAAGACATTTTGTCTACTGAAAAGATACAATGGATGTTACAAGTTCTTTGTGGAATCATCAATATTTTTTTTGATGGGGGTAAAGCGGTTGTAAAATGTTTTCTAAAAAAGAAGGCATGTTTCCTAAAAAGCTTTTTAAAAAGTACTTGGGGAACCAAATATTGTAATTTTATGACATTGTTTTAAAATTTCTATATAGAAGCATTACGGATGTAGTACTTTTCCATAGAATAACAGGTTATTCAGCGTGGAAAATATATAATATATATATTTTATGACACTGTTATTAAACAAACTATGGGAAAATTAAAGCAGCTCAAGGTACATGAACCAAGGTGCCAATCTCATCGGTTGGCAAGTTTTTAACAACCACGCCCAAGGCATTTTTTTAAAATAACAATTTCATGCCTGTTGTTTTGCACATCAGTGTGCATACTCACATTAGCACCATTTGTTTAGTCACAAAGTTTTAGTAACACTGACAATAACTGCACAGTAATCAGTCTGGTGTGCACAAGCCTTAAGAGCTTCAAGGGTTCTTTAGAGTGGAAAAGGTTCTTTAAATCATTAAAATGTTCTACAAACAAAAAAAAACTGGTCCTTTTAAGAGCTCAAGTCTAATTAAATCTGTCTGAATCTCACAGATCTTCCATCTTCCCTCAACGAACTTCACTTGGACTATAACAAGATTGCCAAAGTGGAGTCAGAGGACTTCTTGAGATTAAAAGGTCTACAAAGGTAAGGTAAACCAACAACCCCTTGCGGATTAAAAAAACAGAACAGCCTAACGCTAACTCTAACTCTACAGGCTTTGGCTTGACTTCAATCAAATCAAGTACGTAGAGAATGGAACTTTCGCTGCCACTCCCAAAGTCAGAGAGATTCATTTAGACAATAATAAACTGAAGAAAATTCCTCCAGGCCTGAACACCCTGAAATATTTACAGGTGAGAAAAGATTCTTTGTGTGTTTGCATACACAGGATTCTGATTCTGAAATAAACATGCAACAGAAATATGAACATGATGTGTACACAGATCAAACAACTTTGTTTCCTCTTTTAGGTGATGTACTTACACGCCAACAGCATTGGCTACGTTGGAGTAAATGACTTTTGCCCCTCGAGAACCCGGGCTAAGAAAGCCCTCTACACTAGAATCAGTTTATACGCAAACCCAGTGAAATACTGGGAGATTCAGCCACCCACCTTCCGCTGCGTTTCCAGCCACAATTCGGTGCAACTGGGAAACCATAGAAAGTGAGAGAAAAGCTCTCATCATGCCACTGGAGGGCAGCATTATAGTAGTCAAGAACTTCAATGTAATAAATTATCGTTTCATGTCCACATGATGGCGATGTACAGAATATAATTTATCCAAAGTCCAAGAGCATCCGCAGTGGCAACAGACGCATTACTTGAATTTGTTGAGAATTCTGAAGACTCTGAATTCCCGTAAAGACAGAATCAGCTATACTGTGTGCAATAGTAACATAGGTTTTCATAGTTAATGTTTACATTTAAATATTCTCAATTTATAAATGTTAAATAACAGCTTCAATTGCGTTTTCTTTTCAGATCAGGTGCTAAATAATCTTGTCCCATGTGTTAAAGGTCTACAGGTTTAAAATAAATAAACAAGGCCAGTTCGTTTACTGTTCTACTTCATGTATTTAGATGGGCATTACTCATTGGTGCTTATTAACAGTTTAAGTCATAACAAATTATAATACTGCATGCTAAATGTTCATTATATGGTGTTTTATTCATTGCCAGTGTTTGGGACATGGACATTTTTGTCAGATCATTTTTATCAGTATCCCTGACATTCGCAAAACTGTACTTGCAGCAAGTGTTTCCTTAGCCAGCGGTGCTGTGTTTCTTGTTTCCAATTTCAGATCTTGTTGTTTTCAGAAAAATAAATACAATTTAAATAGTAAGTCTTGTTGCCCATGTTATGTCCAGCAATAACACCAAACACCAGCAGAGGGAGACTTTAAGACTTGTTTAGAGCTGTTGTTCAGGATAAAAGCAAAACTGCATAACCCATTAAAACTCTTGAAATGGCAAGAGTTCAATGAATTAGTCCATTTTTTGGTTGAAATCAAGCCAATTAATTATGTTTTATTACTACAGCAAGTGTCTCCAATTAACATCCATTTAACTTTGGAATCATTTTATAAAATTTTGATTAATGGAAAGCTGGTAATTATATGTGTGATTACTGGGAGACAAATACCTTTACAAAAACCTCACAAAAACTGACCCAAATGAAACATTTTTACTCTAAATAACAGGTTAGTAAGAATACAATTATTTGATATGAACATTTCATAAAATGATCATGATGATTATCCATCAAAGGGCTGTTAAATTGGCTGAAAAATAATGCAAATCAAGGTGGCGTGACTATGATGTGGATTAATTATTCTTTAATAACCACAACCCAAGACATTGTTCAGATGGTGTTTTTTAGGACAAAAGAGAGTATGTTTAAGAGTCTGTGCATCGCTCAGTAGAGTTCAGCACGAATTTCTTTAAAGAGCCCATATTATGGGTTTTTGAAAATGCCCTTCCATGTAGTGTTTAACAGCTCTAAGTGAAGTGAATTATCCAGCTAAGGCTTAAATATGTAAGTGTACAGTGTTTAAAACTGTTGATTCATCTATAAAAGAGTCGACTCATAGTGCTTCCAACGAGTCGTCTTGATAACGAGTCATTAGGTGTTTCGCGATGACGTATCTACAAACCCAAGTAGTTGTGCGCGCAAACCTGGGAGATTTAAAACCTGCGGCCCCGCCCTCTAACACAGAAAAAGCCACACACAAACACAAACATTGGCCGTTTCTTAAAGGAACGATAAGTAAAGAGTACTTATGGACTATGTCAGAACCTGGATCGGTTTCTTCCTCCATTTCTCAAGTGTAAGTAACGTTACGTGCGATTAAAGTTGTTGCCTCGTTTACTCTAGCTTGCAAATGTATTTAGATGTAATTTGTTACATATAACCGTGTGTACTGTATCAGGTTAACTCGCTATATTCTCATATCGTGTGTAAAGAAACGATTAAAATGTGACGCGTGACGCTTTGTTTACGGACCTCCGTGGAGGAGGGTAATGTGTGTGTGTGTGTGTGTGTGCGGTGTCCTCCGAGGAGAAGGGTAATGTGTGTGCGTGTGTGCTGTGTCCTCCTCCTCTGAGAATAATGTGTGTGTTAGTGTGTGTGTGTGTCTGTCTGTCTGTGTGTGTGTATTTGTGTGCGTGCTGTGTCCTCCTCCGAGGAGGGCAATGTGTGTGTGAAAAGAGCAGGTAGAGTGTACATTTCCTCACCAGTTTTTGCTCAATAAAATAGTTAGTCGTCAGTATTTTCAAGTCCATCGTCTTTATTTACATTCAACCACTGGCAGCCAAAATCCACGCCTTACACTATGAAGCGTGTATGAACTGTGACTACTTTTATAATGTTGATTAGCTTCTAGGCATTTCACTCTGTCTCGTGCTGAAGACAGTCAATATCGACCAATCGCAACAGACTGTCATTGGTCCAATCAGTGCAGATTAGCTTTGCGCTAAGGAGGGGTTTGGGAACAAATTAATCACTGAACGATTCATATGATAGTCGCTGGGATAATTAGGTAAAAATAAATGCAGATTACAAGATAATGAAAGTGTTTTTTGACCTTGCATGCATATCAGACTGTTGTTGACCCTATTTCATGTATAATAGGGGCTCTTTAATAATTGCAAAACAATTCATCTGACTTAACAGTGACCTTAAAACCTTGCTAATGAAAAACTCCATGACGCTTTTTACATTCTAATCCATTCTGAGGAAAAGGCCGTTAAAAATGCTTAAAATGTACTAAATAAATGAAATGGTTTTAACAATGCCCTTAAAATACTGACTTACAAAATATTGAGAAAAATACCTTTATAGTCATGCACATTAAGTTCTTACCAATATACTGTATAGCAATCAAAAAGGGGAGGTTTGATAAATTTAAAGTGGAGAAATTTGCAAAATGGAACATTTATTCATTCCTTCGACTTAATCCCTTATTTATCAGGGGTCGACAAAGTAGAAGGAACTACCAGCTATTCCAGCACAGCAGATGCCCTTTCAGCCGCAACCCACTAATAAGAGCAAAATTGAGCATTTGGCATACAAATAATTATACATACAATGTATTTTCCATACTGCCAAACCTACCTGTGCAACATACGATTAATAATAATAATAATAATAATAATAATAATAATAATAATAATAATCACAACAACAACTATTATAATTTTGTTTCTGCATTTCGGGGAGGATTTGAAAACAATAATTTTTTACTAAATTTACAATCTGTCCCTTAATTAGCATGAAGCAAAACTATACTCTCTAATAATGATTAGGGTTGATGACTGAAACTCAGCATTACACTTAAACAGTATGTAATTAGACTTGATCAAGATTGCAGGTTTGGGGGCCACTGAGCTGAGCTGCTGGAATTAGATGATTGAAATCATTCTTCTTTGCATAGAAAAAAAATCGGTAGGCCACATTTTACAAGCAGTAATCCATAAGTAACTGTAATTTGTAATTATTTTTAAACTGTTTGCACGTATGCAAACCATGTTGTATAAGCAGCTATCACATGCGTTTTGAAACGTTTTGGACTTCTTTGTCCACAAGATGTCAGTGTTGAATTGAGCCATTGTTTGCTCCACAGTCAGAATAGAAACAGAGAAGGAACAACAGCACTGCTGAGGACAGCAAACGCTTTGAGCAGACAAATGCACTTGTGAGTGGAATAATGGATATCAGCTACTGTATTTTGAATGAGTATAACATTTTTTTTAATAATTGAGCAGTTTAGTGCGAAAACCAGCAACTTATTGCATGATAGATTGTGACTTAGGAGTTATGCTGTGATGTCAGGCTTACAACTATTCTGTCAAGACCAAATATTTAAAAGCTCTGTGAAATGAATTGTTTTAGATGTTACTATCAGTATTATAGTTTTATGTATATCTTTAATCTAGTGTGCTCTAAAACAGTGGCAAAATTTACATTTAGACGATATAAACATTCAAAGCTCGCAGTTTGTCACTTCCGCCTAAATGGATTAACACATTTTTTTTTTTTTTTGACATCAACTCATACTTCAGTTTTTCATCAAATCTTCTGACCAATCTAATGCTCGCTACATGCCGCACCCCCTTCAAGACACTTCTCATTTGCGTTTTTTTATTTGATGCACTTGAGCTCAACCACTCTCTCTGGCAGAGCTGTGATAAAACTAAATGCTATTAACTGTTTCGTTTTTTTAAAAAGGGGAGAGGTTATTACATGTCCTGCCCTGTCGTCATGTTTCATTTGAGATTACGTCAAAGTTCGAATAAGAAATGCACATTTCAAAGCACTTCACAGGACCATAAGGGTGTACTCACACTAGGCACAATTGCCTTTTTATTTTTATTTGCCTTTTTATTATTTTTAGTCATTTGGGAAGCAGTGACATGCAGTTAAATCTTTTGCTGAACCAATCCATCACTTTTGACGCTCCACAATTGAGCGCGATACAGAGAACGGACCCGAAAAATGGGAGTCAAACATGGCCAGACTCGGTTCGGATAGCCTAGTGTGAGTACACCCTTAAATTGAAATGTGTTGCATAGATATTGTGATAGGTCAGGATAATTTGTTTATATTTTTATATTTTGCCTCGTTTCCACTGAATGGTACAGTATGGTATGGTATGGTTCGGTACGGGTCACCTTTATCAGGTTTGTGTCTCCACTGCCAAAGGGTACTAATGGTACCTTTTTAGTAGGTATGGCACTCGACAGAAAGTTGCAGTCGACGTCATTCTTGCTTCAAGCAAAGAGCTTAGAATGACCAAGAGGCGACACTCTTGTGTAATTTGGGAAACAGCCACTAGAGGGCGCGGCAGCCATTTTGGAATTAAAACTCCAATAGAACAACAGCAAATTATAAGTCTGTAAAGTAAACTATTAAAAGTGCTGATGATTGTGTTGTGTTGTATTGTCGTCTTTCAGGTTGTATCTCAGCTTTAATGAGCTTTTTAAATAAATAAATAAAAAACAAAGCAGCTGCTTGCCATCGTGACAGTAATGAGATCCAATGGACGACCGATCACTTTCACTCCAAAATGGCGGAATCCAGGGCTCGTGCTGGGCGCTGCTGTTGCAATGGAACGTTCTATTGAGTGTCGCCTCTTGGTCATTCTAAGCTCTTTGCTTCAAGTAAAGGCCTCGTGAACAAAAACAGGACACACACACAGATTCTGCCCTTCTTCTTGGCTTTGTGGCTGTTCATCAAGACGAGGACAAGCTTTGTTTAAGCTTGTTATTATAAGTATATATTATAACGGTGTAATGTCTCGGCTGTGTATTTAAAAATGGCGCTTCCTTTGTTTTTATTCTCCTGGCTTAGCTCTACCCTTTGTAAAGGGTACCCAAAAAGTGGTACGGTATGATTTGCTTTTTTTTACCTTTTTGACAGTGGAAATGGGCATAAAAATGTACCGTCTGTACCATACCGTAACACTCAGTGGAAACAGATCTTTAATGAGCACTTTTAAACTTTTAATTTATTATTCAATTTCAATAATTCTTTTTTGTGTTTAAAAAGTTATTTAATATCATCCAACATCATTTTGTGGCTTTTTTGAAAATAATGGTTCAGGCTTTGTTCAGACCATTTTATCCATTTAGGATAAAAAAGTATCAATTTAACCAAATATCTACAAGTTTCAACAACAAAATAAGTAATCGATCAGTTATTAACAGTTAGCCAAATTATGTTAGCATTCCCAAAATAAACCAAATATCATACCAAATACCATAATGTATTACAAAATTTCCAAAAAGCAATGTATCCTACCACTACCTATCAGTTACTCTATTGAGCACTGTGAGATTCAGGTCTGCTGTACAGTAGCTCAACTCTAACCGTACATGTGTTATATAGATCTGATATTGCTCCCACCTATGGGCATAATATAACGCATTTGTGTTAAAACCATTTCATAACATTTATATTATTAAAAATGCATTGTAAAATTGGTGAATAGCAGGCCTCATTTTGAACACTGTATGTAGTAGACTGCAGCAAAACCGATGTGATTTGGATCACACAAATTTTGTTCCTGTAATATAATTTGGGTCTGAATAGGTTAAGATATGGGAGGAAAAAACAACACAGAGGGGTGGAGGCTAGAGGGAGAGAGAGAGAGAGAGGTTCTGCTCAGGAAACATATGGAACAAATCTTCAGGTTGGCCTGATCTACTGCTGCCACGTCTTGCATACCGGCGGCTCCAAAAAAACTCACAACAGGTTTGGATCATTTAGGATCCCTGAGCCCCAGAAAACACCTGAGGGATTCGGACACATGGATTTGAAATGGTTTAAAGGCTACAATACGTTTCCTCCTCACACTTACTGTAAATGTTTCAATGTCAACAATCCTGAACAGTGACTTTTCCACTTGTGTGCAATAATATTAGACCTGGTTTATCTGAAACTATTAAACTTATAGTATTTTTGAGCTTTTAAATAAAGCTAATTTCATAAGCCCAAAATTTGACAGCATAAAAGTGAAGAGATTATTAAAGTTCTAGTTTAGATCACCTCATGTTTCCCTCCAATCCAATTACCCTGCAGAGTAAATACCTTTGAACCAAGACAGCAAACAACCACCCAGCTTGTTTTTATCAGCTCTTTCTAAGAGGGCCACCAGAACACTTCCCACCTCTGGAACATTTTCTGCAAAGTCTCTAAAACACGGTCTTGTTCAGACGCACACTTGTGGATTAATTAGAGGTTTTTAATGATTCTGATAATCCATTAAATACAACATGTGTTATTTGCATGAAGACTTTCTTCACTGCATGCTTTGACTCTATAAGCTAATTTTGAATTCAACTAATTGGTTTCACTTTTGTGGAAAAAAGAAAGCTTGTTTTATCAGTCACCTACAGTTAAACAGCCGAGTTTTACTATTTTTGAATCCATTTAGCTGAGAAATTATATTATGCTACGTAACCAGCTAGGAAACTAGAAAATCAGTGCTGTAAATAACATTGCACCTGCTGCCGCCATGGTACAGCAGCAATTTTCCTTGATTAGAGGTCTTGTATTGTTCGCTATATTGAAACGAAAATGAAATTGTTTTTAACTATTGAGTAATCGTCTATCTAATGATGTAATGTGATTTGATTGATTGTGGAATAAGAGGGTGGAGTGAAAAGATTGCGTCACACACTGAAGAAGGCATTGTACCCAATCGCTGTGTTTTATATCTCCTAAGAATGTAAAATAAAGCTATATAAAGTAATTATTTAATGAATGTGAATTACGACCTTCTGCTTGATTAGTACTCCGAACTATAAGTATAGCTCCTAGCCATATTGACCCAGAACTTTTTTTTTTGGTCAGTCTTAGTATATGACTTAACTACAGAAGAGTTAAGCTTTAAATAGGAAAACTATCAAAACCTTTTGAGTTTTTGGAGCAGCAAACAATTTTGCGTTTAATAGACGTCTAAGCGTAGACAGCTTGGCTAAAACAGGGCTAAACTTGGGCTGTCATTGAAAATCTAAAAGATGTCTAAGAATAGCCCAAAACTAGACTAGTTATCAAATAGACAGATTAGTCAGACACTATATGGTAGTCATTCATTTCTGTTTTTTGATGACTAGTCTAGATTTGGCCTACTCGTCTATTAGATTTTCACTGACAGCCCAAATTTAGCTTTGTTTTAGCCAAGACGACTATGTTTAAACGTCTATTAGACATCTATTAAAAACAAAAAATGCTTGCTGGTTAATGATCCAATCCGATTAAATTAAGTATGCTAAGCTAAGATAAAAGTTTTCCCACCACATCTGGAGATCGGCTGAATTGATAAAAAAAAAAAATGTATAAAACTCAACTGTTTACCACAAGAGGAGATAATTTTTTAAAAAGTGGAAAAATGTAATACTTGAAAATAAGGGCACTGGTCAAATTTCTAGAACACTTTTGGATCCTTCCAGTTACTGGTGTAAATCTGCAACTGGTGGTCATTTCCTTCTTTATCAAACAAACTCTGTTTAACTAGCAGACGAACAGTTGAAGTGTCTAGTGTATATGGAAAGGAGACGTGTGTATCAACGATGTTGTCTATCTAGGGCAAATAGAATTTTAAGGGATCTAACCCACCCTGGCCATAGTCTGATCACGCTCATGCCATCAGGCAGGTGTTACAGAAGCCTGAGGAGCAAATCAGTGCGGTTTCGTGATAGTTTTTATCCTGTCATAATAAAACCTTTGAATGATACCATATCTTAAACAGTATTGATAGCTAGTATAAAATAATTAATCAATAAATAGTTAAACAAGCAAAAATTGCTAACATTAAAACTATTATAACAAATGGTGCAATAGGTATTTAAGTATTAAGTTATTCCATTCAGAGATTTCTTAAATTCGGCCGTATTTTATACAACTAGATTTTATATATTATTATATTTATAGATTTTATAGTGTTTGTATAGTTATGTTTTTATGTTCTTGTTGGGTCTGATGCTATACGTTAAATAGATCTTCATTAAAATTTATTGTGATGTTTTGAGTGACAAATAAAAGAAACTGAACAACAAACAACAGGTGATGTTTCAAGCACACTCACTTTTGTGAAGTACACTTAGAATTGCATTCTTTCCAGAAATATGATGTGTTTACCAGAAAGTGTCTAGTGCATATAGAGAGCAAAAGAGTGTGTGTACTACAGGTGGTTTGTCAAACCCACTCGCTTTTGTGAAGTACGTTCAGAATTGCACCCTTTCCAGAAATATGATGTGTTTACCAGAAAGTGTCTAGTGCATATAGAGAGCAAGAGAGTGTGTACTACAGGTGGTTTGTCAAACCCACTCGCTTTTGTGAAGTACACTCAGAATTGCACAACGATTTCAAGAAATATTAAGTTTTTACCAGAAACTGTCCAGTGCATATGGAGAGGAAACGAGTGCATACACTACAGGCGATGTTTCAAGCACACTCACCTTTGTGAAGTACACTTAGAACTGCACGCTTTCCAGAAATATGAAGTGTTTACCAGAAAGTATTTAGTGCATATGAAGAGCAAAAGAGTGTGTATGCTACAGGTGGTTTGTCAAACCAACTCAACTACATGTGGTACACTCAATATTGCACAATTTTCAGAAATATGGAGTCTTTACGAGAAAATGTCAAGTCCATATGGAGAGGAAAAGAGTGTGAATCCTACAGGCTCACATGCATTAAGTACACTCAGAATTGCACAATGTTTTCCAGAAATATGCAGTCTTTATAATATGCAACTATCACTGCTGATTTATAATTTCGATCACTGCTTTTTCCAGAAAATATTTTGTTGTTGTTGTTGAACTGCAAGCTCATCCACAACTAAAAGATTAAGACATTATTTCTAAGAAAAAAATTGATCTCCAATGTATGTGCATTTGTTTATTCTCATTGCTCACGCCAGTGCCGACTGCACGCAACTGCACTTCTTTCCCAAGCCCAGATGTTATTGTAAAGCCACCACAAATAAGTCAGACTGAAGTTTATCAAAGACCAAAAAAATATATAAATGGCCTGCCAACACAATAAAGCTTTTATTTCACTCAGTTTTCACCCCCTTCCTCACAAAAAATGCCCCAAAAGAACCTCTCGGGACTGCAATCCTGGCGGTTCTTGTTTTTTCTCAGCCCGCAGTAGCGCTCATGCTGCAGACTTCTCAACGTCTGCCATGTGGGCAGCAGCAAAAACAAATCTTCCAGCTGACAGAATGAGTGCTGAGGGGTCTGTCTAGCCAAGTCAGAAAAAAACTGAAAAACACATACACAAAAAAAAAACGACACTCTCTAGACGGGTCATAAGAGACCGTCTGTGGTTTAACTCTGATACAGTGCAAGCGCTGGAAAAAGCAATCATGTTGCAGAAGGCCTCCACAAAGTGTGCTAGAAATGTCTAAACCAATTAAATCGAACCCACTTAATTATCGGCGATGCATTTTTAAGGCCGTATTCGTCATCGTTCAGTTTAAACAAAACTCTTTACCAACACTGGCTGAAGTTCCCATTTTAATTTACTACGCATACAGCATAAACATTTACCTGAATATAATAACACAAACTATGCACAAAGCCTTAGCTGCAACACCTGTTCCGAGTCTGGCCTTAATTTAGTGGGTTAACTTTTTACTGTCCACATGCAACAATGTGGACTGGATACTAGGCCATTCCTTCCAGATCGATGTCTGGAAACTTCAGCCTCACCTCAACTCGACAAAAGGGGAAAAGAAGAATCAGATGAGACCACGAGGCTTCACTGAGGTCACCGAACACCACATGCGACCAAAACGCTTCCAGAATCCTTTCCACGGCAAAGAGGCAGATCTTAATCTCTCCCGAAACATCTAATGCTTCTGTGGGGGAAACCACAAGGGTAATCTTTCACGCTCGTCCCAGGAGATAAAACAACTTCCCGCTTTAGGCAACATCATTCAAGCTGAAGGGGTTTCAACTTGGCCTCCGAGAGAGATATTCAATCCCACAGGTATGAAATGATGATTCTAAAGCAGTTATTAAATCACTTCTGTTATGATTGTTGTTAGATATTTGGTGGTAGATCTGCAACGTTTGGGGGCAAGACATTGCTCTTTAATCTAACTAGTGCACATTTTCAAGTCAATTCCCAAAACTTAATGCAATGCAACTACCATTTATTTGCCAACAGATTAGCAACAGCTGTAAAGAAACTGATATTTTCAGATTTTAAATCATGTACTTAACAAACAAGTCTTAATTTCTTGCATTCAATGGGGAAAATGAATGTAAACCTTCAGCCAGATGTGGCTTCCAAATATGAGAGCGATTCCTATGATTGATTAATGAAAAAATGAGCTTCAGATTTCTAGAGTAAGTCATGATTTAACTGAGAGGCATTCAAATAATAGCCAACATACCAGCCTGTCGAAGCTCTGCAGAAGACAAGAAAATTACTTCAGAGTCGTATTGAGTAGTTACAGTAGTTAAATTATATTTCAAAAATTAAACCTGCTGTGTTTTTTGGATCCTTGATCTAGCTGCTTTGCCAGCTCGCATTATGACTATGACCAAACACTGTTTTTTTTAAATGTAGGAGAATATTACATCAAATATAAACAACAATCCAAGAAGACAGGCTTCTTTCATTTTACAAGGGAGTGTTCGCCTCTACAAAATGGATGTTTGTGTTTAGAAGTGAAAAACTAAACATAAATACCTATTAATACTAGGTCAGTCAACCACTAAAGCCTCGACTTCAACAGGCACAGTAAAAACCCTGCTGAGATAATTCATGCCAGACGTTACAACAGAAGAAAACACTAACGTAGTATCCAGATTTATAAAGAAATGTTATTTTAGTCATCTGTAAAAGCACGAAACCTCTTTAGGTAGACAAAATAAGATTAAAAACCTAGTTGTAGTTTGTTTTAGCTGTCTAATAACATTGCTTTCTGTGAAACCCAGCCCACTTAAATATGATTGTAAACAATTACTGATGATGATTGTTATTACATTCAATTTAAAATAAGTCACTTTGGATAAAAATGCTAAACGACTAAATGTAAATGCATATCCTTTAATAAGACACAGATGGCAGGTATATCCGCAGTAATCCAAATGTGAATTATGATTATTTGTAGATGAGTCGCTGGTGGATAATATTAAAGACTAATTATGCAAATATTAACTGCACTGTAAAACCCACAAAATTAAGGTAACTCAAACCATTTGAGGAAACAGATTGCAACAAACCATTTAAGTTCAAAAACTAATCCTAATGAGTACTGTGAACTTAATCTATTTGAGTAAACTAAGCAATTTAAGCACAGTAAAACCCAATAAATAAAGAGAACTCAAACCAACTGAGTACTGTAAACCCAATAAGTTAAGGCAACTCATTCTGTTTGAGAAAACCAATCGTTACAAACCATTTGAGTAAAAAAAAACTAACCTATATGAGTACTGTGAACTTACTCCATTTAAGTTGAAATAATGAGGTATTTAATCAACTCATTACTCAACACTGAATTTAAAACTCTTTTCAAATGAGTGGAATAAACTTTCAGTAAATTTTGAGTTAACTACACTCATTTCGTTTGATAAAGTTGACTGTTGGGTTTTACAGTGTACATTCTCTAAAATAAATACGTGTTTTAAATGCATTTTTTTCAATTGTTGCATTGTTCTTAAAGCAGAAAGTGTGAAAATAGTTTGCGTGTTGCAACATGTCAAGATATTCCCATTAAAATCTGAAGGCAAGATGACACAAAACCTACTTATTTTATAGAGGGACTTTAAGCTAATTTCTGCGAATGTGCCAGATTGGAAAAGCAAGCTTGTGCAACATGTTTCGCAATTCGCTGCATTGCAAAGTTCAAGTTTTAGAAACTGCAAATTTAATTGACATGATTGCATGAGTCCATTAGAATATCAAAATGAGAACTGTACAAAAATTTTAAATATGGAGCAATCGTTTGTTTATCAGTGTCACATCAGCTTGGTTTCCCATTGGGAATTATCAAAGGCTAGAACTAGACGTGAGCCATCAACGCAGTTGCGTTTTTTCTGTGCTAGTTGTTCGGTGTCATTTTGGTGTGTCCTGCACTTAAAGGCACAGTATGTAATAGTTGCCACTAGAGAGCGCATATTCACAACAAACAAATGTGTAGTTTGATGACAGAGTGACAATGTGGAATCATGAGAGTTTGAAAAGAAAAAAAACTTGATTTACCAAGATTTACTGGTGGTGTCCTAAAAGAATTTGACGGGCTGAACGAAATTATTTCAATTATACTCTCATTAAAATATAGCAAGTTCAAACCCCTGTTGGAAACTGTCTTTTGTGTTTGTTCCAAACAGATAAAAGAAAAAAGCAAACTAAACCATGACATTGGCGCAGCTCTTGACAATACTGTGTCTGTTTTTGCTCACTGGAGTTCTGGTATTTTCTCAAGACTACGAAGAAACCAACTATTCAGACTACGACACGGACGCCATCTCTCTGCCTGAAGCTCCACCACTTTCTGTAACTCAACAACCCGATTATGATTCCCAATTAATATATTCATACGACTGTGCCAGAGAGTGTTTCTGTCCCTCGTCTTATCCCTTCGCCATGTATTGCGACCACCAAAAACTCAAGGAAGTTCCCAACATCCCAAGGCACATCCGCCACTTGTACATCCAGCATAATGACATAGAAGAGATCACCTCAAAGCCTTTCATCAACGCCACGTCCCTGAGGGAAATCAACCTCAGCTACAACAAGCTCCAGTCATCTAAGGTGGATAAGGATGTCTTCAAAAGGCTCAAAGACCTTACGCAGTTACACCTTGAGCATAATAATCTGGAAGACATCCCTTCTCCTTTGCCAAAAACTCTTAAAAGGCTTCATCTGGGATTCAATAAAATTTCAAAGATAGCGGCTGACGCTACACGAGAGCTTACAAAACTTACAGTGCTGGACTTGGGCAGCAACAGACTAACAGATGCAAGTATTAAAGGCAAGATTCTATCTGGCATGAAGAGCCTCATGCAAATCATCCTGTGCAACAATAAGCTGAAATCCATGCCAGCAGACCTTCCAGAATCGATTCAGCAGATATCTCTGGAAAACAACTCAATAGTCTCTATACCCGAGGGTTACTTCAAGAAGACTCCCAATCTCGTGTCCCTGAGAATGCCGCACAATAAACTCAAGTCTGTTGCATACAATGCCTTTAATCTGTCCAAGCTAATGGAGCTCCATTTGGGTCATAACCAGCTCTCCAAACCGTTTTTTGTTCCCAGGAACTTGGAACATCTGTATCTAAATCACAATGACTTTAAAGGTAGGTTTAAACCTCAAGGCAATTTGGAGGCCGGTTTCAAAGAAACAAATAGAGACATGTACTTACATATTTTCTGTTTTATTTCACAGCCTTATATCATGTTTCACTCTAAACAGTCAATTTATAAATGCATCTCAATAACTGTAATGAAAAAATTGATAGTTAAAAAGGGAAAAGTTCACCCAAAAAGAAAAATTACCTCATCATTTACTTTTCCTGCTGCAGATTTAAACCCAAGTTTTTTTCTTCTGTTTAACACAAATGAAGACAAATAGACTTCCACAGAAGGAAAAAACAATACCATAGAAGTCCAAGCATCCTTCAAAATATTTTATTTTTGTGTTTAACAGAAGAAAGAAACTCAAATAGGTTTTAAGTGAAGAGTGATTAAATAATGACAGATTATTCAATTTGGGTTGAACTATCCCTTAAAGCCAAATTACAAGCAGATGGATAATCAAATCTCTCATAAATCAGTGTTTAAATTATTCAATCAAATGTTTTGAAGATTTGTTAGTGACCGAGTGAGCAATTGAAAGCAAAACCATGTGTTACTCTAATTTCCCGATGGCTCTTCAGTTGATTTGTTTGGAAGTACTTAAAGTTGGTAAAATAAGCTAACACAATATGTCGGGTCTAAAACGTATAACCTAAAATGTAAATGAGCTGGAATTGTATAAAATTGATGGAAAATTTGTTGTGATTTGGGTAAAACAGCACCATTTAAAAAAAAGATCTTAATTTTTGGAGCATCACAAGGGAAAGCGAAACTATTTTTTTATCAAACAACATCATTCATACAATAAATGTTTTCAAAAGAAGCCACAACCCTAACCATCAATGAACAGATAATGTGTAAACCAAGGTTATTATAGTTAACAAAAATGAATGAAAAAACAAAACCTACAATTGAAAAATTTAAAATTTTAGCAAGCACGTCCTTCATTTTCATCTTTGTGAATGTATTTAATACAGACTGTAATCCTTTTAGAATTTACAGAAATTACTTCGCGCTGCCAGGAGTTTGACCCGTACGGCACCTCAGAGTCTGTAATTCTGATGCCATTGGCCAGATCAAGCAGGTCCTCCACCAGCCATGCTCCCGCGACAAACAAACAATGAGTGGACATGACAGCAGCATGATGACAGCACTAAATACAAGACGAGCAGACGTCTTGTTAATTTAACACATTTGTGCCCAATAATGGGTTTTATTTCTGTATTAGTGATCGCGACCGCAAACAAATCTTTCTTTTCTAACTGAATCTTCCATATGAACTGGTTGAACTAATTAACCAATTCGAACAGAATCATCTGAAACTATTCGCGTCTCCAGTAACGTTAAGCACTTATTCACAAACTACTTAATTTTTACATGCCTTATACCCCACTCTGACTCACAATAAACCAATAGATACTGAGTTATTCAGTTATTAGAACAGTACACGGATGACTGATTTGAGAAGCGGTTTACTGATAATACTGTGCATGCATGATTCAGTGAACCGAACACAAACAGTACATGGCAGCCTGCTTTGACTAAACTAAACTTGAACAACTGCAGCACGGGTAATCCGAGGGCTTGATCTGAGATCTGGCAAAACGTAAGTTTATCTCTTAACAGAAAGGCGCAATGGAATTTAAATAAGTGAATCATGCTTCAGTTGGGTTGCAAAACTTAATTATAACAAACTTTTTAGATCATGCTGATGTTTTAACTGACTGAACTGATTCTGAATCTTGCACCTAACAAATATCCTAATTTACTAAAAACAATAAACAAAAAACTAAAACTATTGCTGAAACTAATTAAACTAAACTAAAACTAAGCAATTTCAAAATATAGAAACTAATAAAAACTAGTAAATCTGCCTCTAAAAACGAATCAAAACGAACTGAATTTAAAAACAAAAAGTCCAAAATGAAATAAAAACTAAAACTAATGAAAAATTTATTCAATTTTAAAACTATTATAACTTTGGTGAAAACATACAAATGAGATTAAACAAATATTAAAAAATATTAAAAATATATAAATGAAGCACTAAATTACAAAAAATTGGATTTTAGATAGAGATAGGATATATTTTAGATAGATAGGGTCTTAGATAGAGATCATGTTGGCTGGAAGCATTTTGAGTAACATTTAGCTCACTATTTACTCTACCTAATTTACTCACTTTACCTTACTCTACCTCAAGGGCTGCAAACCTTTAGGAGGTTCTTTCTTCTGTTGAACACAAAAGAGGTTATTTTGAAGAAAGCTGAAAACCTTTAACATCTATTGTGGGAAAAACAAATATGACAGAACTCAATGATTCCAGGTTTTCAGCTTTTTTCAAAACAACTTTCTTTTCAGTGAAACAAAAGAAAGAAAGAAAGAAACTCATAAAGGTTTGGAACAAGTAAAGTGTGAATAAATGTTGACAGAATTTTCAATATTGTTAACTAGTCTTTAATTTGACAAAAATAAAAACACTATTCTATGATATTCTATTATAACAAACTGACCCAACCCTGTAATATACAGACAAAAATGAATGACTCCTCATCTTGTTGCAGATCTGAATATCTCTCTAATGTGTCCATCACTGGATCTTGGCCACCCAAATATGCTGACCTACATTCGTCTGGACAACAATAAGCTGAGCGGACCAGTGGACTACTACGCTTACAGATGTTTCCCAAGGCTGATCATGATATTTTATGGACACCAAAGGAAAGACGATGAAGATGACTCTGAGAAATCTCCCAAAAAATACGAAAAACCTGACCGACCAAAAAAGCCCGGAGGAAGCAAGGCTATTGACACAGAGGTCTGAGATGTGTCATGCATAGTTCGACAAACCAACCGATTCAATATTCACTTCAAGTAAATCAAGATGATTGAAATATTATTAAAAACATATATTAGTAACTTTAAATCTTCCATTCCTTGTTGGTTGAAAATTCTATTTGACTTTATGCATGAACGTGTTTAAAATGAGTTGCCATTTACAGAAAATTAGCTTTTTTTTATTACTTTTTGCTCCATGAATACAGTAAAAAAAAAAGTTTATCAATCACTTCAATGCATGTAAATGTGTGCCAGATAAATAAAGCTACTTTTTTCTGGTGAAATTATTGTTTAGTGTTTTTTAAGATGGAAAAGTATAATGCTTGGTTCACACTAAACGTGAAATGAGGTATTCGGATGAGTGAATTATAAGCGTGTAAATATACACTGGTCTCACAGTTCAGTTCGGTTTGATTGCGATTGTCATGTCATCGATTTGGTTCAATTCAACATCACAGTATGTCTTGATGCATTGATGATGGACCGCATCCTCAATTTTACTTAATATTTATAAGTATTTTGTCATTAAATACAAGCAGTCAGAAAAATAAACAGAAACGTGGTCGACCAAAACATCTTGAAGATATTAAACATTAAAAAGTGATAGTGGCATAATGACCAGCTAGTGGGAGAGCTGGAGCTTTTACAGTGTGCCGTTAGCAGTAACATAAGGAATATTAGGTTCCTTCAGCATCAGTGAAACTTACAAGCAGCAAAATGTGCCCAGATCTAGGCTTTTTAAAAAGTTGGAGCATTTAAATTACTCGATTTTTAATTGCATCTACACGCATGTGCGTGTTACCTTCAGACCGTAGATTACTACTCATTTGCATGTCTCGACTCCCACACTCATAGTATGCTACTTGCGAGGGTTTTTTGACATACTATACGCTTGTTAAGTGGTGACGTGTTTGTGACGTATGTAATACTGTTTCCAATGGTCCAAGCCGCCATTCATTTGATTGGAAAAATCATTCGTTTATGGTCACGTTTTATTCCTATCACACATTAAAGTTAATTTTATATAAAATCATAGTGTAGACAACAATCTCTTCGCTTGCTGCATAACAAATACCAAAAATGTAACAATTTAAAAAAAATATTAATCACTTTCTAGCCATCGGATAATAGGCAATGGACATATGTACTGCGATCGTGATTTTCGAAAGCATTAAATCGCTTTGTAAACGTTTATTATTCCCATTTCATGAGTCTCCCCATTCAGTTGAATAGCGCACTTGGACCTGGAAGCCGCTTCGCGTGACGTCACACTTAACAAGCGGATGTCAAGACATACCTTGCCATATTATGTCAGAAAACGCTCACAAGTAGCATACTATCGGTGTGGGAGTCAAAAAATTTCTGACATACTATGGTATGTCTACTGTAAAAGTTCCAGCAACTGAAATTTGAGTGAGGGGTAAAACATCCCGAGTAAACTAGAGCTAGTGATGGGGTTCTGTGTTTGGTATGAATCAAGCAAAAAGGGGGACGCACATCGGATGCGCCACACCGCACCATGCATTTTAGAATTCTAAACATAGATTTCTATCAGGGTACGCACACTAGTGTTGCAAGTCGAAAGCTGTCCACAGTGCCCAGTTACAACTCAGGATACTGTTCATATTTCTGCCGTCTGAATAGATGACTCTGAGTCATGCCGTGCCACCTGAATAGTTGGTCTGGTGTGCGTTACTTCCAACTGTCACATGCGCTTAACAATACAACATAAATGAAAAAGAAAATAATATGGTGGTTCTATTGCAAGCCAATTTAATAATAGTTCATTAGGTTACTTGATTAAACATATTAATAAATAAATAAAAACAAACTTCTTAACCATTTTAGCTGTAATTGCTAAAATACAAACCATATTTCGGTAGACTTGCTAACTAAATGCTGATTCAGTGTAAAAATCGAAAATTACTATGACAAATGATCGAAATTACTGATCACATTAGCATTCAACTCCTTTATTGTTTAATTTGTACTAATTGCACAGAGCTTGCGTGACTGACTAGCTGTTCACAACCCACTGACAAACTACTAACGGAACAAATATATCGCTTTGCACATTCTTACACCCTAGTTATTTAGGTGGTTACATCTGAATAAATCAAGTCATGAAGTTTAAAAAACCACACTGACGGAGAAATGTACCGCAAAAGATCAACTCTGTAGGAACGTTTCTAAGTATCTGACCCTTTTCCTAGTACAGTAAATGTTTACAGGTTGGTATAATTGCTAACACACCTGTTATGTTATTCAATCTCTAATTCCATGGCTTCCATGTTTATCTCAAGGGGCCGAGGTGCCTTTCATACTCTGTAAAGTTGCAAAAAAGGAGTAAATCAGTCACATGTTTTCTATTAAACATGTTTTCTTCACCTTAATCTTCAAGTGCCTGTTTAATAGAGGAGCTCTGTTTCCTTTTTATGTTTTTAATGAAATGTATCTAGGCAAATGTAATTTAAATTACACAGAAGAGACTGGAAACAGGTACATGCAAAAATAGACGACACAGATTAAAAGATTTAGGAAATTTTGATCAGTGCTAATGTCCTGCTATCTTAATTATTACTGTCCTAACACTTGTTTTAAATCAATGTTTAGAAAAATATAGACAAAACCCAAGATTGGAATAATTTTTTGTTATTGTATTGTGCAATTTTATGCAAATCTAAGCAATAAAATCTAAACGCAATCCAATCAGTGTTTGGTTACTACACAAAAAGAAGTTAATTACGTCATTAAAATTATATTTAAATTACTTTTCTAATTACTTCCACAGCGGCATAGTGGCTCAGTGATTAGCACTGTCGCCTCACAGCAAGAATGTCGCTGGTTCGAGTCCCAGCTGGACCAGTTGGCATTTCTGTGTGGAGTTTGCATGTTCGCATGGGTTACCTCTGGGTTCTCCCATTTCCCTTACAGTTCAAAGACATGCGCTATAGGTGAATTGAATAAACTAAATTGGCTGTAATTTATGAGTTACGGTTGAAAGGGCATCCGCTGCGTAAAACATATGCTGGAATAGTTGGTGGTTCATTACTAAATGTACATAAAATTTTGAGTCAAACTCAACTTTTTAGCTTTATAAAAAATGCAACCATTTTTATTACTATTATTAACGACAAAGTTAAACATTTCATGTATTAAAATATAGTAAGTAATGACACCACATTTCAGTTTAACAAGTATGGGTTATTTCAACTCAAACTTGGGAAACATATTGAGAAAATACAGTCCTTTTAAGATTTTGCAAGTCCAATGGTTCTTGAGATCAAAAAAAGAACACAAAATGTACAAGATATTTGTGTTTTTTTACAGCAAAACACCAGAATTGGAGCAGATAATGCGATAAGGACAAAAGCAACCACAAAATCAGTGATTTTAGGTTACAAAAAGTAGAAATCAGTGCAAAATCCCTGAACAGACTGAAAACATATCACTTTTTTTCATTAAAAAAATGTATTTAAATTTTTTTTTCAATTAAAATTACCCAATTTTGTTGGTGTTTTTCAGATTTAACCCAAATTTAGCTTATAATAACACATTATGTTTTAGAGTGAACCATATATTATGATGAACTAAAATCTGACTTATTTTTAGTTTTAATTTTACTTAAACATGTATAATTGTCTAGATAAATGTATAATTGTATAGATTAATGTATGTTTAATTGAAAAACAGAGTTATGCAGCAAAATATATTTGTAGAACAAACAACTACAGTTCTCTTGCTTCTTCAAGTTGATTTATACAGAATGGCTGAATTTAAGTACAGTATTTAATTACCTAAAAATGAAAAGCAAACATTTTCAGCAGATAAGTCATTTAATTACAGTAATTAGTCACTTTGTAACTTATTACATGCAAAACTGATCCTGAAACATCCTAATGGAATATTTTCTATATTACTTCTGTACTTCCATTGTCTTCTCTTACAGAAGTAAAGATTAATTCAAATACCACAGAGCCAAGAGCCGCCAAACATCCCTCAACATTCCTCAAGACCACCACACACATACAATTCTGAGCTACAAATTTCCAAAGCAAAACTAACAGTCCTTTTCATTGCCTCCTGCTTTATGAACTGTTTTTTTTCTTCTCCAGAAGACCACAAACATGGCCAGACCCTGAAGGCGACACAGTGGTCTGATCAGCTCAGTAGGGAATGCGAAGGGTTAAGGTCTGTTCCATAAACTCCCACTTAAGGATCTCCTCTGGCAGCCTGTGGTGGGGCTTAAAAATCCTGATTTGACAGATCACATTTTACTCACAGGCACCAAGAAAATAGCCAAGCGCTGCCTGCACTGCGCTTCTGCTCTTTAACGTGGCAGAATACATCCCAGAGTCTTCAGATACAATGAGGACCAGGCTGAGAATGCTCATTTCAGCAGTCGTATTGGTATCAATGGTGCTCTCAGCATCTGGTGCACACTATCATACTCACAGGCATCACAGACTGGAGGATGTAGCACTTACTGAGGAAACCGATGTAAGGGCACAGAGGAATAAGGTAAATTTTATATATTTATTCTATGCATTATTACAGTCTGCAAAGGCTGATGGAAGAGTCTTTATTACATTTTTTATTACAGTTAATTAGTTTCCTTTAATTGAGTTTGTTTGTTCCTATATATTTTTCCTATATATATATATATATATATATATATATATATAAAAAGAACTATAAATAATATATACTATATATATACATACAATAACAACTATTGATAATTGATAACAATATTATTAGCATTAATGTTCAGCAAAGCAACATTTAGCAATCTTTCAGGATTCACCTTTTATTTTTCTTAACCCACACACTAATAGGGTTTTATCTGCTAATTTTCCACGCTACAATCAGTTTTGAATCCAGCTAAACAGGATTAATTGAGAGTCCTCAGAGATGGACTCAACAGCTGCCGGCGCTGTGTGGAAGCTCTCTGATTAGTCAGCAATCTGTTCTGCAGGATTTCCTTCAGGCTCACATTCTCCCACCCACAGCTCCACAGTAACTCACGGGGGTCAGACACTGTCAGGGTGATTTAACAGACGCCTGAAGACACACAGGTCCAGACAAGGTCTCAAACACACCTAAGGAGATGATAGTTTTTCATCAACAGGATGTAAAAGAAGCCATTTACTCACCCTCATGTTATTATAAACCTGTCTTTCATCCAGGAAAACAAAAGCAGATGGCTGCTTTCTCTGCTTTTAAAATCAAGCCTACAAGTTTCAGAATAGATGCAAAGTGTTTGATAAAACTTATATGCTATGAAAGTCTTTTGAAGCTTTCTGTGATTAAACGACCCAAATTCAACTCATTATTCCCTATTCAAGAAGCCATGTTTTCAACTAGTACAACACAATACTCACAGTTCAATAGAGGTGAATACCGTCACTGAATAAATCAAAACTAAACAAAAAGTCTAAATACACAGGGTTTTCTCCCTTCTTCACCAAAATACCTCTTATTGTACAAGAAATGTTTACAGGTTTGGAATGACTTAAATACCTAACAAAACTTTGTATCCTTTAATATTCCTTTGCACTCTAAGAGTGCTTTCATACCTGTGAATCAATTCAGTTGTTCTGAAACAGGGATTAAAATTGTTACATTGTTGCTCTTACTTTGTTCTTGATGCGGTTCACTTTCACACGGCAAAGTTTCTAAACAGACCAAAAGAGCTAAAACTAGTCACATGTGAGTAAACTCTCCTCACATTGGTCAGAGTTTCACGGTTTATTTAGCAGTTTCCCGCTCAGCTGTCAGGGGGATGGTAGTAGTTTGGTGGTGTTTGACAGGGTGCGTGCAATGTGTCTGAAGAGCGAGGACGGATGCGGTGGGGAGGGGTGAGAAGGGTGCGCAACGTATTTGAGGACCGGGAGGGAGCGCGATTTTCGGGAGATTATCACTCGTTTGCGGGCATCCTGGAGTCTCTGTGGATTTGTGGAAGACTCACAAAACTTCCGGGAGACTTGGGATGTCTGGAATGAACTCCCGCCCTACTCATAATTCTCTCTTTATATAGCCTTATGCCTATTACATATCCATAAAACATTGATATAACTGGGCTCGGATCATTTTGCTTTTTCACTACAATCGATCCGCAACAGAGTTTGTTTCAATCGAGCCGAGACCACCTCATTCAAGCAATCTCGGAGCAATTGTTTTGGCGCGGATCTGAGCGCGATTGCTGGATTCACATATGCCAAACGAACCACGCTAACTGGGCAAACGAGACAAGTTCCGAAACAAATTTTTAAAAAATATTATGTTTAAATTAGGGCGAGGCAGTGGCGCAGTAGGTAGTGCTGTCGCCTCACAGCAAGAAGGTCGCTGGGTCACTGGTTCGAACCTCGGCTCAGTTGGCGTTTCTGTGTGGAGTTTGCATGTTCTCCCTGCCTTCGCGTGGGTTTCCTCCGGGTGCTCCGGTTTCCCCCACAGTCCAAAGACATGCAGTACAGGTGAATTGGGTTGGCTAAATTGTCCGTAGTATGTGTGTGTGGATGTTTCCCAGAGATGGGTTGCGGCTGAAAGGGCATCCGCTGCGTAAAAACTTGCTGGATAAGTTGGCAGTTCATTCCGCTGTGGCGACCTCGGATTACTAAAGGGACTAAGCCGACAAGAAAATGAATGAATGAATGTTTAAATTATAACCTCTGCACAAAACGTCAACCTGAAACTTATGATGACTGTTAAAGGACTATCAACAAAAGCATCAAAAAGGGATTGTATTTAAAGGAATGGTTCCTTCAAAAATGAAAATACCTCATAATTCACTTGTATAATCACGTATGTGACTTTCCTCTTTCGGACAAATCAGAGTAGATTTCAATTTTATCCTGCCTCTAACATACTACATAATGATGTTGGGTAGTGTTCTCTCTTTTTTTGATGCATTCAAAAGCACATAAATCCATGGTAAAACGAACCCAAACTTTGTCAGTGTGTTAAAGTGTGTCTTATAAAGCAGATCAATGAGTTTTTGTGAGAAAAAATATTTACAATTTTAAAATGATAAACTCAAAATCACTTACTTCTGGCAGGCTACCAAATGCATGTTCTCAACAACTTCTTGACTGACCTCTGGGTACAAGTTTGGTACATAATGTAAGAACGTCATGCATATAAGAAATGTTGAGGGTAATTTCAAGTTTTGGTTGAACTATTAATTTAATGTCTAACTTGAATGTGGTATTCTTGTCGATTAACCCAATGTGATGACCAATGATCCATTTTGCAGAGATCGACAAACGGAGACGATGATAAAAACGCCCTTATGCTTGCTGACGCGCCAGATGACTCGGGCCCACTGCAGCCTGTGGGAGACCCTTCAGGTAATGAATGACTGACATCTGGTCAAGTGCCCGAAAAAAATTTGTGATAAGCTCTTCGTGAAAGTCTTCACTTAATGTTTGGTTTTCTCCAAGAGCTACAAGTATTGGAAGTGATGATGAACTTATGATTGCCCATCTTCTAGGTTTCATAAACTCAATAAAAACTTGCCCATTTTCCAGATCTTCCGACCTGTCTACTGTGCGTGTGTCTAACTGGATCTGTTTACTGTGAGGAAGTGGACCCAGATATGACATCAGTGCCTACTTTGCCCAAGGAGACAAACTACCTCTATGCTCGGTACAACAAGATAAAGAAGATAACAGCCAAAGATTTTGGAGATATCGGTAAGTTCCTCTTGACTTGCTCTAGCATTCTCGTTGACCGCCTTTTTCTATTGGGAGAACAAATGCAGTTCTCTGGCAGAGGATAATTGATTTCCCTAAAGGGAAGCAGGAGACAAACAGCTGCATCTTTTCAGAAAACAACTGAGAATTCATATACACACAGCAATGTGATCGCAAGAGATTGCTTGTTTTTTCCATTGCATGAAGACATCGATCACGTTTTTGAAACGCAAAGCCTGTATGTTGACAAAAACTTGGACATTTGGTAAACTACTCTGTTTGCAACAGTGCATCGTAGACACACAAAAAATAGCTAGAGGGAGCAGTCAGTGTTTAAAGAGGCTTTGGGGACCTCATACATGGAAGGCTTTCAAAACACTTTAATATTATGTCTCCCATAAACCAAAATGACCAGAAAACCACTTTAGCTAACAAAAAGACTTGTGCAGTCCTTAACAGGCGATATTCATTTTCAAGATGATTTATTGCGTTTAAAGTACATGCATGGTGGATGCTAATGAAATAATAACTCAATACAATCATGACCATGTTACTTAAATAATCAATTCAGTGTTCTATCTATTACTTTTCATCAACTGTAGTGACTCTGAAGAGAATCGACTTCACTGGAAACATCATTTCTGAGATTGAAGATGGCGCGTTTGCAAAGCTAACCATGCTAGAGGAGCTCTCGCTTGCTGAAAACCAGTTGGCCAAACTACCAATGCTACCGGCAAAATTAACCGCCTTCAATGCCAATCACAACAAACTGAAGACCAAAGGAGTCAAGGCAAACGCTTTCAAGGTATCTATTACTATCTTTTGTTTTTGTTGCTTTGCGTTTTCTCTTTTTTGTTTTGGACAAAGTCATTTCTATAAACAATAACCACTGAATTGCTCTAAGCAAAAGAAAAACAGCCTTATTTGCTAACATTTCTAACTGATCTTCATTGCTTCCAGAAATTAAACAAACTGCTACATCTGTATCTTGCTCACAATGAACTGGAGGCCGTTCCTCTCATTCCGGAGATGGTCCGCACACTTCATCTTCAGGTTAGTTGAATACGTGTTGCATAGTACCAAACCTCTTCACATAAACCTTCAAATAGAAACTCAAGCCCCTTCTGTTGCTTTGTTCACAGAACAACAACATTTCAACCGTGTCCACAGACACCTTCTGCAAAAGTAACGACACTTACTACATACGTCCCAACATGAACGAGATCCGTATGGATGGAAATCCCATCAACCTTGGCCAGTACCCCAACAGTTTCATATGCCTGCAGTCTCTTCCAATTGGGCGATACCAATAAAAACAGATTTAAATGTATAACGCAGTGAGAAGTCCTTGGATATCCAATGACGATGACTTAAACCACGAAGAAAAAGTCATTCAATCTCCTGGTGCCTGTGCACTACTGAGTGTACAAAAAGCCGAGAGAATCTGTACTATATATCTATATGTAACAGCTGCCCAAACACTTAGATTTCCTTTTGATATTGACTTTGTAGATGAACCTGAAACACAAGTCTTTAAAAGAATAACTTTATATCCACTGTAAATAACCATTGGAAGCTACTGCTTTGTAAAATGTGAGATCATGAACAGATGCAGTCAAGCTTCTAGTATTTCTCAGAACTCTGTGAATTTTTGACACTTTCTAGTACTGTTAATATGTCTTATTTGGCTGAAATTAAGATGCCTGCTAAGTTAATTTGAGGGTAAGGAAACCATTCCAAGTCCCAAGACGCTGGTCTTTCCAACTGACCTTTTTTATTGTTTGAATATTATTTATATGCTAAATCTGTAATTACTACCTATGTGTGAATTAAACATGAATAGACTGTACAGTAAAACATTGTATGACTTCAACATGCTATGTTCACTTTAGTTGTTCAAATACACTTTTTTTTCTAAAAACGCTGACTAGTTTGCTCTTATCCTTTTGGATAGCTAGATCAGATTGGAGCCTAAAAATACATGGGCAGCTTCAAAAAAAAAAAAAAAAAAAAAAAGACCAAAACAACTGTCTGCAAATTGCTAACCAATTAAACCCGAAGATTCTGCACAGAGAAAGTTCTGGAAAAAGTGTGGTAATATTGTTCCAGTTTACAGGCCAAATTGGCAGCGATCACAACACAATGGTCCAAGCAAATAATGGAATTTTTTTATACTGCCTCAAAGGCTTCATTCCCAAAACTTTCACTGCCATCGAGTCATGGAATTTGTTCCCAATCTGACATTCCCTAATGTCAGCAATCTTTCTCATTCTTATGAAAATCTAACAGTATACATGCAAATACAGATAACCACACAAGAAGACACAAGGAGAACATGAGAGAAAGTCTGTAAGAACTTATAGATCTTAAAGAACTTAAAGAAATGTATGAAATATGGTTTCTTTGTTTTGGAATGATATTGAAAAAAAATATATTTTTTCCCCTGTGGCTTATTATACTTATTTTACTTATATCTATAACTTTTACATCAATCACATTGATAAAAATGGAATATAATACAAATTTCAGCTGATAACAACTTGACCTTACCTTACTTGACCGCAACCAACTGTAGACAATTGTGCTACAAGTAGCTTAAACTCGCTTATTCAGATGCAGGAACCAATGGACGTGCAAAAAATGTAATCATAATGTAAACAAAAAACAAAAGTTTCGATCTGGAGCTCCTTCATGTGACTCGACACTTGTAAATACTTTCTCCATCAGGCTCTCGTCTTTCAGCACCGCCTACGCTCGTCACCAGTACTAAGCCGACCAATCACAGAGCTTGCGATACGCGTTGTTGCAATGTGTAGTTACATTTTTTTAAAGGTGCATGTCAGCATCGGTGTCAGCCATGGGCGAGGGCTATGCAACAGCACGAAGACTGCGCCGGACAATATGCGCACACTTGACACAGAATTATAAATCCGCCCTAACTGTGTTCCTATAATTAAAGTAATTCCTAACACCTGGGGTGCAAACACAGTGATGTGATTACCACCAATAGTTATAGGAACTAAAAACTATGGAAACTCTGGTGCAAAACACCCAATTGATTAGCTTGTTCAGGAGTATTGAATAATACTGTGTTCACACTACCAACGACACACAATGAAATAGTGACAAGATCCCATTCGTTTCAATGGAAACCTAGTGATTTCTGGCGATCACTACCTATACCGAGCATTGGTGATGAGATGTGGATGTGTTCAGCAATATGACGTAAGCAACATTCATAACAAACAGTCTATATAAGCATTAGTTATAGAGCTCATGCAATCCTCTCTCAGCTCCCGCACCAGCCAGTTGTATTATCCGTGCTGTAGACCTACAGACTGGCATTTGGCTTTTGCTGTTTAGTGTTTTTCATCCACCATGTTTATTTTTAGCATTATGTTTAGCAAAGACATTTTAATTTAAGTGAATGAATATCAAATTGAGGAAGAAACTGCCATTAGCAACTTTCACTCTTGGTGAAAGGCAACTACAAAGTTGCTGGAAGGGGGATTGCAGCTTTATGGTACAGTTCACCCAAAAATGTGTAATAATTTGCATGAGATTGTTTCTTCTACCAAACACAAAAGAGGATATTTTGAAAAACGCTGAAAACCTGCAACTATTGACTTCAGTGTCTTCAAAATATCTTCTTTTGTTTCAACAGAAGAAAGAAAGCCATAAGGATTTGGAACGCTTAAAGTAAAGAATTTTTTGGGGTGAATTATCTCTTTAAGTTCAGAGGTAAACAGTGGCCCTTCAGTAACTGAATTTAGTGTTTGGGCTGACAATAATATTGATTAGCAATCACTATTTTTATTGATGGTTACCTGAAAGTGCTGAAACGTTTGACGCCTATCCTCACATCTCTCAGAAAATGTCCTCAAGGTCCTGAAGAACAAGAGAAGATCTTTTGTGTCCTCCACTCTGCAAACAAGACAGAAATGTTGAATTTATGCCTCAAAATGGCCAACAGTGTATTTCTTACTTCAATGAATAACATATTCCAGTTAGAAACCTGGAGTCTTTAAGTATTTGACAAAGCATGACAGAGAAATGTCCAAACTAGTGTAAATTTCAGCATAGAATATGAAAGGATAAACTGTGTGTTTGTGTTTAATTCCCTTCACAGGCTGACGTTACGAGACATTTCGAGTTTTTCCATAGATTTACCAAGGGCCCAGAAATTGTGGCACAGGACACAACTTTCCATGACTCTCGAGTCTTGTCTGTGAAAGGCCAATGTTGTAATGAGTGATGGAAAAATGGTAAGTCTCTCAAAACTAAATGGATCAACTCCAACAGTAAAAGACAGCAGCTCAATGGCAAGAGTTAAAGAAAAGACTCCATGAGAATACAGAAACGCAAGACAATTAGTGTGACTAAAATGTTTTGGATCTGCATAAGCTGAAAATTTACAATCACTAATCAGGCAACTGGTTTGACTGACATTTAACACTGCCTAAATAAAACCACAGACAAATCACATTTGCCAGCTAATCTCAATTTCCATTATATGTCATTTCAAATTTGTTGATAAAGCTGAGGACTTTGAATCTGAAAAAGTCATTTCAAACTAAGCTTTCATAGAACGCTAACCTTTTAAGTTAAATAGACTAAACATACTGAATGCCAGCATCACTCCACAGAGCGATTAATGGCAAATCAATGTTTGGCTCTTCTGGTTAATTTCACTTAAGCTGTCCCTTCAGTTTTTCTCATTTGCTTGATTTTGTTCACAAGAGCCCATGGCATGTCTCCTGTACTAGTGTTATCCATATGGGTTTAACATTAGCAAATTTATTATGTCTATCTCTGTGTCATTAACTCACCTTTTACTTGTTTCAAACCTTTAAGTTTCTTTCTGCAGTTGAACATACAAAATATTTTGAAGAAAACTGGAAACCGGTACCCATTACTTCTTTAGGCTTTTTCTTCCAAGCCTTTATAAGTTTCTTTCTTTAAAATATCTTCTTTAGTGTTTAACAGAAGAAACTCATAAGTTTGAAAATATTTAAAGGTGAGCAAAGACTCATTTTTAGGTGAACTATCTCTTTAATCTTGGCAAAAATAACAAAAACTTGTCAAAAATGTTAATATGAAGGCTGGAGCGAACAGCATTAACAAACATGATTATTAAGAATAAAGCAATGATAGTTTAAAACTCAAGGTTTTAGTGCTTAAAAACTGACTCCTCAGACATGCCTGAATCCACTTATGTACCCAGCCACAAAAGTGCTCAAAAAATTCTTCTTAAGTTTACATGGACCATAATGGTTATAAAATGCATCTTCCTGACACGCAGAGACAACTCAAACTTATGCGAGAATCATTATCTCCAGTGATTTTCCAACTCTCTCGTGCCAGGACAGACTCTTAGACCAGACAATATGATCCAGATGTACATTCAGGGTCCAGGAAGCTGGCTGAACTTCAGAAAAGGACCCCAACAAATCTTCGCCAAAACAGCAGCATTACTTTAAACTGTAATTTGTCAGCTCGGCCAAAAAAAAAATCCTTTAAGTGGAACAACCGTAAACTCTAAAATGGAAACAAATTCATTGCTAACTCAAGAGTATGAAGCATAATGCATTCAAGCTTGGAAATGCCTTACAGAATCCGTGAAAATGTGAATTATTTTGATGAAATTTGAGATCATGCAAAATGCATGTTTGTGTGTTGTTGCACTTTCACTGCACATCACACGTGACAAAAATTAATAGTTGACATAATTTAAAATGTAAACGTTTAAACTTTTTCATCCATGTATTTCTATAAAAGGCGACTCAGTGGATAGCATTGTCAACTCACAGCATAAAGGTTGCTGGTGCTAACTGGGTCAGTTGGCATTTCTGTGTGGAGTTCCCGTGTTGGCGTGGATTTCCTCCGGGTGCTCCGGTTTCCCCCACAGTCCCAAAACATGCGCTATAAGTGAATTGAATAAACTAAATTTGCCGTAGTGTAAGAGTGTGTATGATGTTCCCCAGTACTGGGTTGCAGCTGGAAGGATGTACTTTGGTGGAACACCCCTATTTATTGAACAAGTCCAAACAAGTCGTAGAGAAATAATATATATTATTTAAATTTCATATAAAATAAATAGCACGAAGATACAGATGTCACCACTTTAATAGGTTCCCTCTCCCGCCATGCTTGCTGCCGCCGCAGCGGTAGTAAGTGCCACTGCAGCTTTTGAACACTGGGTGGCGCTTTAGCCATAGATTTTCAGCTTTGCCTTTTTACAATTAAGATAGAATGGTACTGTTTGTACTAGGGTTGTAACAATATACCGGTATGACGGTCTACCACGATTTGAACGTGCACGATTATCATACCATGAACAATTGCATATCAACGGTGTTAACCCTTAAAGACCGAGACAGCCGCCCGCGGCTAAAAATAAGTATTGCTCTTAAATGTTTAATAACTTTTGATCCGCTGATCCGATTCATACAATTCAAAGATTGGCATAAAGAAGAGAATCTCAGCTTTCCAGCGCTGTATCACATAACATTCGCGGACTTTCAAAGGCTCCGGAATCAGTGCGGTTACGTCATTAAAATTTGACAACGCTGATTTGACAAAGAAACACTCGTCACTGTGTCTCCGGACAAACCAGACATGATACATTGATGCATTGTCCCTCCTCCATGCCCAGATGGGTTCAAACTCGCTATATCACAACCAATAAGCATAGGTTTCGCTTTTGTTTGTGGACCAACAACAAGCTTTTTGAACAACACGGAATGAGAGATAGGCATACATTTATGCGCCGCTAAAAAAAACGCAAAAAAAAAAAGTTTTGCATGAAATAATTCTCATACTAAGTACTTTTGCATGCACAGCAGCACAGAAACATGACAAAACAGTGACACAGCAAAGACGAACTGCTGCTCTTGCTGTTTTCAAAAGACGCAAATGAAGGTGCAGCTGTTTGTCTGCATTGCAGACAACCATATCCAAATCCATATCCACAGACAACCATATCCATGCTGGCACATAAAACCTAAGGATGTTCCATATTGAATCTAGTTTCGTTATGTAACTATTTATAGTATAGTAAATATTTATATCTATTTTTTACTGAGGATTTGCACCATGTTTATTTGGACTTTATTTGGACTTTGACACATTATTTATTATTTTCTTATTTTTTTATTTGTTCATTGTAAGTGGTGTTGTTTATAGTAACTGAAAATATATTTTTTGGAAAAAGTCAAATTTGCTTCACTGTTCTATTATTTTGTAACATTTGTAACATACCGTATACCGCGAAACCGTCAAACCGTGGTATTCTTTTAGACGATTATCATACCATAAAAAATTCATACCGTTACAACCCTAGTGTGTACCTTTTGTGATGTGGAGTGTTCAATTAAAATATAATTTTGTTTGTTTGTTTTGGTTTTCTTAGTAATAAAAAACTATTATTTAGACCTATTTAATTATTCATTTAATATTTATGTACAATAATTAAGAAAAAAAATGAGATAGTAAAATATAATCATCAACAAAAATGTAAATGAAAAAGCTTATTTATTGACTGTCTTAGTCCTAGTTATTAAAAAATAACAAACACTGTACATATATCTACATTTAGGCTAAAACATTGCTTTATTTATTTATTTAGACTTACTTATTTGTATGTTTGTACTTTAATTTTAGTTATCTTTTATTTATTTAATTGTACTTTCCAAAATGAATCCTTATTTCACTTAACAGGATTACAATGATAATAAAGCTTGTTAACAGGTATTTAATGATTAGTGAAGGAGTTATAATGCTTTGTTTCATTATTTCATCTTTGGTTACAGGTAGCAGGGTATTTACAGCTACTATATATTTTTGTCCGTTTGCATCACGTCCCTTTGTGCCCCCTGGTGGCATAGTCATAAACTGTGGTTATACCTAAAACACCTTTTTACCCCTTAAGTGTGGTGGCAGGGCCACTCAGGGTGGTAATGCTGGTTTTAAAGTGCCACACACTGTACGTGTCCTACAATGAAGATAAATCGGTATTTGTATATTATTAAGAGATTTAGGACATATTTAAGGTGCAGCTCAGAATTAAAAAAGGCAGCGAAAGCATTAATAAAGTTAATGACACCTTAGTCAAAAACCAGACTTCAAATTAAGTAAATATATCTATTTTGTCTTCAAAAATGGTGTTTTACTAAAAAAACATGTCAACCACCCATGTATGTAAAGATCTATAGCAACGACTATATATTGTTGTTGGTTTAAATCTCTAAAAAACTTGTTTAATCTAACAACCAAACAGCATTTACCTACAAATATGGCACAAAGGGATTAACAAAGCAGCAGGAGAGCAAACACTACAATCACGAATCTTCCTTACTGGAAGTCACAGGTTCAAACCTCCGCTCTCTTTTCATGTATATTGTAAGTGTACAGTACAACATGTAATCTAAACACCCTAACCTTCTAATTATCTCTGCAGTTTTCTCTGTAGAGGGCCGAATACACCAACATCAAAAGCTGTGTTGTGCTGTTCTTGTCCAAGTAGTAAAAGACAAAACTGTACACTTCAGTCCACAGGAATGTTTAGCACTTCAAACCAGCCGATAAACTAGCTACATCCACCTAGAACAACTATGCCTTTTATCCCAGAGGAGTCTGTACAGGACGTCCTGCCTCACGCAGTCCACATAGACCTTCAGGTGGTCCACATGTTCACTTTTTACAGTGCACTCTCTGTGGGGTGCTGTTGGCTGTCATTGACTTGCTGGTGCCATTTGTTGACAGTTTAATGAGCGGGACATGTTACGGACCGTCAACACAGCACTTTCAAACATTAAATCCACACATCATTATGTTGGGTGCAGCGTTCTTCTGGACTCAAATGACTGAACCTCATTACAGCACCAGCAGAGCAACCGTCTGGAGTTTAGCAAGAAAGATTACTCCAGCAGCATAAAACATAAGCTCCAGTTTTAAAGTCACCCTGTAGGAGCTTAACCACAAAAATAGAGCAGAAAAAAAATGAAACAAGTCAAACTGAGGACAATGGAAAGTAAGAGAGTACAGCAAAAGTGAATAAAGAATACTATAATAGAAAAGGATATGCCAGAAAAAGATCAGAGTACAGCAACAGAAGACAATTCAACACAGGACTCTATGATTTCGGTGAAGTAGAAAACATGGACAGAAGCACATAATCCAGACATAAAAGCAAAATTAGCTGTGAAACTGAGGATGTCTAAGAATTTGGCAAATGTTAGCTGACTGAATCTAAATCGTGCTATACACCTAATCAAATCTGGATGTGAACAAGTATCTATGATGAAACTCACGACAACCCACCAAAATAAAGGGTCATCTTTAACTTGAATTTTTTTTTTTACTATTGTACAGCAGAATGTATTTTTTGAAGTAATAATAACAACATTTATAAATCACCCTTGAGGGTGTCCTGGTGGCACAGTGGGTAGCAAGACAGCCTCACAGCAAGAAGGTCACTGGCTCGAGCCTCGGCTGGTTCAGTTGGCATTTTTGTGTGGAGTTTGCATGTTCACCCTGTGTTCACGTGGGTTTCCTCCAAGTGATCCGGTTTTCCCCACAGTCCAATAACATGCGGTAGAGGTGAATTGGGTAAGCTAACTTGGCCATAGTGTATGAGTGTGTAAGGATGTTTTCCAGTGATGGGTTGCAGCTGGACAGAAAATATCTTGAAAAATGTTGACATCCTATAATCTTTGACAACCATAGTGAAAAAAATGGTTACAGCTTTAAACATTTTTCAGAACAAAAAAAAACTCAAACTGATTTGGAATAAGTCACAGATGACAAATAATGACAATTTTAATTTCTGAGTGAACTACCCTTTTAAATAATTTGAGATCCATCCATTTTCATTCGGCTTAGTCCCTTATTTATCAGGGGTTGCCACAGCAGAATGAACCACCAATTATTCTGGCATGTGTTTTACGCAGCAGATGCACTTCAAGTCACAACCCAGTACTGGGAAACACCCATACACTCTCAAATTCACATGCACTCATGCGCTACGACTAATTTAGTTAATCCAATTCACCACTAGCACATGTCTTTGGACTGTAGGGGAAACCAGAACACCCAGAGGAAACCCATGCCAACACGGGAAGAGCATACAAACAGAAATGCCAACTGGCCCATCTGGGACTCGAACCAGCGACTTTCTTGTTGTGAGGTGACAGTGCTAACCACTGAGCCAACGTGCCGCCTAATTTGAGAAAGTCATACTAGTTTCTTAACATAGCTAAAAATACATTTTTGTTAAACTCCTAATGAATGTTTCTTAAATTTTGTAAGTTTAGTGTTTTAAATGTTTAGTTCATTCATTCATTTTTATGTCGGCTTAGTGCATTTATTAATCCGGGTAGTCACAGCGGAATGAACCACCAACTTATACAGCACGTTTTTACGCAACGGATGCCCTTCCAGCCGAAACCCATCTCTGGGAAACATCCAAACACACTCATTCACACGCACACACTTATACACTATGGATAATTTAGCTAACCCAATTCACCTGTACTGCATGTCTTTGGACTGTGGGAGAAACCGAGCACCCGGAGGAAACCCACGCGAATGCAGGGAGAACATGCAAACTCCACACAGAAACAGCAACTGGGCCGAGGCTCGAATCAGCAACCCAGCGACCTTCTTGCTGTAAGGCCACAGGACTACCTACTGCACCACTGCGTCGCCTAAATGTTTAGTTAATAAAATATATTTTAACCATTAAAATAAAGTCTGGAAAAAAAGAATTGAAAAGCACAAAATACAACAGAATTTAGCAGACAAACGAGAACACAGTAACAACAGAAAAGAACAGAACAAAATGAACGGAACAGAATACAACACAATAGAGTAGAAAAGAACAGACCAATGGAACAGAACACAAAAGAAGCAACAGAACAGGATAAAACAAAACATAATAAAATAGAATACAATGAAATAAAGTAGAATATATATATATATATAGTAGATAGTAATAGAAAAAAGGAAAATGGAAGAAGTACAATAAAATAAACAGAGGTAATCCATCCAACAGAATGTATTTTTCAGCAGGAGAAGAAAGACGCAGCTACCACAGACAGGGACCATATGTCTAATGATCAGAAATGCTTATTCGTCAATTTGGCCTGGGCAACGAATAAACAAATCCTCCTGCAGCAAGTATAACAGAAACCCCTCAAACACATAAAGAATTTCCTTATTTTTCTAGTAAGGGAATATTTCTGGTTTATAAATTCTTCCTGCCTTGTAAAAAAAAGCATCTAATCTGATCTTGCAACACTTGTCCATCAGTCCGCAATGAGAAAATCAGATCTGTGCAGAACTGTTAACAGCAGCTGGTCAGGCTTCACTCAGCATCTTGCTAATGAGCCAGCCGGATACATTTATTTCCCTTGTACGAAGTTCTGTTTGGATTGGTATCTTTTTACAGGACTAACATAAAGCAGAGCGCTCTTCTATGCTGTCTGGGAATTCACTTGCCTGATGTTTACTTACACTGTAGGTTTTATGTTGTGTAACCTATTATGCAACCTGGCTTATCTCCAAATGCGATTTCTGTTGATTCGATCATGCAAACAAGCAAGATCCAAAATTTTGGGAAGGGTGCAAATTATCCAAGGAATCAGCTTACCTTTTAAAAATAAAAGAGTAATTATTATGCTAAATATATACCATGAAACTAAAGATATTAAATGGTTACTACTAATCACCACCCTACCTTGATACAAACGCAGAGAAATCTTTAAATTCAACTCCATCCACAACAATATTGAGCTCAGTAACTCTCCTGTGCAGAACATTGTCCTCCTGTAAATAAATAAAATAGAGAGGTAAATAACATTATTAATGATCTCTATAGCCTGCAATAATGTACATTTATGCCTTTATTCAATTACCTGTCATTAGACTGAAGCCTTGTTGGATTTCAGTCTCTTCTGAAAAATCTTTTTGTGGCGAGGACTTACAAACATAAATCTGCTGTCGCCTTTTTATGCATTTCTTTACATTACATTTGAATTTATTTACCACTATTATCGAGGTCTGGATGAAATTGAATCAAAACTTCAACTATTTTACTTTTTATTGCGACTTTCTTTGCAGTTCATCTTGAAAACCCAAATAAAACCTTCATTTTCAGAGTCCCACACTGATCTTCCGCCAGACTGCCAGTACAAAATAACTCACAATTTTTAAGGTTTCCATCAGTCACCAACCAACAATTCTGTTCTGAATGATTTAATCAAACTATCTAAATGTTTGTGCAAAGGAGGTCCATCAAAGTGCTGTATTTATGCTTGCCATGAGGATTGCAGAGAAACAGGTAGAAATGCTAAAACTATAAATGCCAAGTTTAATTGATTAAAGAGACAAATGCACAAATCCCTGACTTTAAAAATTACAATTTTAGATGCAAATGGAGGCACACTGCCCTCTAGTGTTGAGTGTAAGAAAAGAAGAACGTACAGGACTCGATGGTTTTAAAAGAATAAGAGTGGAAGTAATTTAGAATTAGGTGATAAGAGTGTTTGAAACTGCTTGAGAACTTTCTCTGAAGAAAAGTTGAATGGCGCTTGTCAGTATAAAACATAGCCTATTACTGATTACTTATCTCAACAAGCCACATGACAACATGATTTGAGGTATTATGGTAACGGTGCATAAAAGTGTAAATGGCTTTTAAATTCTAAACCCCAAAGATAAGCAATCAAAATATTAGTGTTGGTAATAATTATAGACCATATAAAATTAGTTGCTAATAGTAACTTATACTCTGCTTAGACCTCAAGTAGAATATCTACACACATTAAAAAAAATCTAAGAGTCCACTTGAAGTTTCTTTGAACTTACTGGATGTATTAGGTAAAATATTAAGATTTGTTTTATTTTATATTGCAAAAATATTTTTCAGAAAATTGCAATTGGTCAAAATAACAAATGTAGAGTTTAGATGCAAAAATCTCTAAATGTCATCTGAAATTTCCCTCTAAAATTATTTTTTTTTATGAGGCTCCTGTGTTTATCTTCAGTAATAGCACTTTTATGGCATAGCATACTTCCTTTTTCTGGTCTTTAAAGTGAAATATTTCAATATAAATCAAGAAGGCTGTGAAAAATGTTCAGTTTCAATGGAAATTTCAGACAGCACTTAGCATCTGAACTCTTGAAATGTTTTAATTTTATTTGTTTTCTATAGCTGCTTTGTAAGTTATTTATTTGGGTTATTCTAAAAGGATAATATGTTGATATTTGTGCTAATAACAGGCATACATTTTTTGTAGTGTCTTTGTACCTGAATCTCAGTCACTGCAAATTCAACCTGGAACAAGAGTAACCCGCAGTGACCAGCAAGTCTGAGCTGCTGTACGAGTTTCCTTTCACCTGAGGAGACAACACAAGGCAATAAATCTTAAACATATAAATCTATAAATAAAACATTTATGTAACTATTATTATTTTATATCTTTAAGTAAAATTTCAAAGTGTCTGCACAACTGATGGATTAATCTCACTTTTGTGCAACGTCTTCACAAAACACTCATTAAGTGTAATCCCGTTGATTTCTGTCTGGCGTCTGAGGTCTTTTTCCAGCTCTCTGACTTCTGTGATCAGCTTTGAAACAGCGTGTTGCTGTGCTCCTCCACCTCCTCTTTCCTCACAGGCTGATTTTCTGAAAAAAAAAAGATCAAATAAAAAATGTGGCTAGTTCTCAAATGAACTATTTTTATTGCAGTTATTCATTGTAAATTTCACACAACAGACAGACAGAATTTGTCCCTTTTACTAACACTCCTTGCTGTAGTCGATCTCCATGCTGTACAAAAATGGACCGTAAAGTCTCCTCCTGTTCAGCCTCCAGCATTTCAATTTCCTGCTGGAGCTTCTGGATGTCTTCTTCATATTTCTGCTCCATGATCTTTTTCAAGCAACTTTAAAAAGCTGTTTATAAAAAGACGAGAAAGAAATAGAAAATACAATTAAATGATACATATCAATAGGGCTGTCACGATATCTATTTTTTTACTGTCAGATATACTGCACCAAAATATATTGCAATAAATGATATTATTGTCATTTTAGGACCATTTTATGACACTCATTATACAATGCCATATAGACAATCTAATATCATGCAAGTACACTCTTTCAAAGAACACATATTGAATTCTTAAGAATATTTCAATTTAATTATAGTCATTTTAATAATCAGGCATTTGAATCAGAAGTGAAAACGCAATTGTTAAAAAAATTCTAATAAATGTTAACAAAAACGTCCTATGTAAAAAAGTAACAGAGGCTGCGATATCTGCAACCAGATCTAGTTTTCAGTTTTCACCTGAGAGCTGAATTAATTAGAGTATAATTTATGTGTGGTTTGTTGGGATGGAATGATATTTGGCTGAGACACAACTATTTTAGCATCTGTAATGTAAGCGTTTTACAAATATCTAAATATTAGGAAAATCATCTTTAAAAAGTGTTATAATTGTGTACATTTCTAATAAAGAAATTAAGCAAATTTAAAGTATTAAAATTTACAAAATGTCTTTATTGAACATGATCTTTACCTAATATTCTAATGATTTTTGTCAAAAAAATTTATCATTTTCACCCATGCAACGTAAGGTTTTGTGGTCATATACAGAATGATAGTTTACATAATAGATAGAATACTTACAAATTAATTAGCCAATGTATCGTTAAAAAATTAAAGTTTATAATTAATCTGCGCAAGACAAAAAAAATAAAAAATTGAGGTAAAGTGGGTTTTATATACACACTCGGTCAGTGATAAATTTTGACATGCTCCTTATTGTTTACCATGGTACTCTGAATATTTGCTCTGAAATCACATGAAAGGATGACTTTAAAACATTAGAACTATTTATTTGACTGTGCACAATGTTCTATTTTGAAAGTCATTGGCTGCTATTATGATTTCCTTATTAAGAATTTGCACCTTTTTTTAGATTTGACTTTTCTGAAATTATATTATTAAAGAGAAAGTCCAAATGAGCAAATTTAAAACCAACTTTACCTCAGAAAACCAACTTATGCCATACAAAAACTAAATATAAAACGTGGAAAAATAAACCTCACTAACTTAACGTTACATACACATCTCGTAGAGCAGGTCGACGTCGAACTCTTTTATAACCGTATTATAAACCGACAGATTATTGTAATACGTTTGTTAATTAAACAACTTTTGACGTTAAAAAAACATATTTGGAGTGAAAATCTGACAGAGGTACGATATGACAGATCAAAATAAACCAGACGAGACTTTACTGAGGAAAAACATTTGAAGTTCTTGTACTTGTTTGTTATTTATTATATGTATTGAATACGTTATATATAACTTAAATAAATAATACGATGTTTAAAGGAATAGCGTTAAACTGACCTAAATGTAGTCCAGAAGACGAGAACGATACGAGTTTACGATTCTGACTGATTCAACTAAATCCCGCGTCAACACGGAATATACCAAATTAGAGTTGCAGGGGTGAGTCATTTCTGTAAACAGCATAAAACGTTTGCACATTCATCTAAATAGCATTATTATTAAACACTGCCAATATAAATCCTTTTATGACTGCGTATTATCATTGTATATGTGGAATAAATTGAATTTCCCCCAAGATGGCTTTTCTTTTTTTCGTTGTCTCTGTTTTGATGTGGAACTTTCCAAAACACTGCGTTACATGCCCAAGCGGAACCAAAAACACGTCCGTGATTTCACGGCGGAACAGTTACAGTGTAACATCAGTTTGTACATGTGAATCTTTGGCATGATCGTAAGTCTTAAGTTTATCTTTTTATTTTTACGACCGTGCTTTTATTTTACCTTTTAGAACGTTTTATTACATCTTTAACTATGTCATGTAAGGGGCTATTGCTATAATCATGTTTACTATGCGTGTAATCATATTAATTATTTACGTCTCAATGTTTTAAACATAATTTTAAGTAATATAAGTGTCGTTTTGATACGTTTTTCATTAAATATTCAGTGCTTTTATATAAAGTAAATGGTAGTAATTATGCACACACAATGAGCTTCTTCTAAATTAACATACCGTTGCATAATTGGCAAAGTCGTTATAACTGTAATCTATGATATAGTAACATTAAGCAGTATAGAGGGATCTGAACATTGGGTAGTACTTTACAGAGCAAAAGTTATTTTCTATTAGTTTTTTTTTCCTTCAGTAAATTGGATATGCATTTGCTCATTATTGTCATTGTTATGATTATTATTTCTATTTATTTATTTGCACATTATTTGTCAATTGTTTAGTGACAGTTGTACGTTCTGCGAGGCTTGTATATGTATAGTCTATATGTATGTGTTTTGGGGATTACTGCATAGTTTATTATGTGTATTTTGATGCCACAGAGGGGTTGTTTGCATGACATTTGGCCATGAAGCGATTGTACATCGGTGGTCTCGGCCACACAGTGACCGAGAAAGACCTCAAAGACAGATTTGGAAAATTTGGTGATGTTAAAGATGTTGAAATCATTACAAGGAAAGATGATCAAGGTAGGAATTACGCTGACACCAAGTAATTGATAAATGATTGACCAAATAAATGATTATGTTTTATTGTAATGATGTTGTGATCTATTTACAGGAGCTCCTCTGAAGACATTTGGCTACATCAACATAAACATCACAGATGCTGAATTTAAAAGATGTACGTTGGTTTATTGTACATGATTCATTGTTTGTTAAATGTTTAACATGCTGTTTATTACACTTGGTATTTAGATACATTTTGGCCAACTGGTTCAGAGGCAGATGAGGGAGACGCATTTTAGTTTACACTTGGTGTTTTAAGTCAGCAAGTGGGTATATTAATGTTTTTTAATCTGCCAAACTAATATTGTAAAATAAGCTCACAAAACTTACAAAGCAACACAAAATGTGATGATGTAAAACAGTAAGTATTGATTGCGCTTATAGCTAGATCTTTGAACCAACACTGGTCTCATGGTTCGGTTATTATTATCATGCCTTCGATTCAATTTGATATCTTCGACATACACATTTATATATTTTCTTCACAGCAGCAGTTTTTGTATTAAAATGTATAAATATGTTTATATGCTATTTTTAATACAATTTGACCTTTAAAACAAAAATTCTGATAAATTAACTATACCTTTAAACACCATGAGCATTTATTGCAATTAATATAAACAAATATAAATATCCCGCTTGCTTTCTGTTCCTTGTCTACCAAGTTCTCTTAAACCCATTTGATTGGTCACACGCTCAACAGAAAGGGCTGCGATAGGCTCTTGCGCTCTGCGCTCTTCACCGATGAGTGACACTGATAAACGGCTGCGGTGATCACAGCTGACCTTTGATAGACACGGTGTAGAAAACCCTGCAGACACGCGCTCGTGTTTGTATCCAGAAGTATCGCTGTAACAGCCGAGAGGAAAAGTCAAGCCAGCAGGTCAAATTGGCCGCAGTGAGAGAAAGAGGGAAATGGAGTTTACTTTCATTCTCTCAATCACAAGGAAATAGGGGCTTCTGCTGTAAGTGTCAGTGAAAGACTGTCCAGAAAATACACTTGCAGTGAAATTGTACACAGTTTGTGAGTTTTTAAGTAGTTGGAGTGTTGTAAATACTCGCGCTTGCTTCTCTCAACATAGTAAGCTATGGCGACTAGGGATGCACCGAATATTCGGCAACCGAAATTATTCAGCCGAAAATAGCCAAAAAAAGCCCTTTCGGTGTTCGGCCGAATAAGTAAAAAGGCCGAATAAATTTTGCCGAACAATGACGTTTTTAATGACGCGATCAAATAGCCTAGTAACCCGCGTAGAGTGAGAGGCGCGCGCTTTATGCAGCACTAAAGCGTCTTTTAAACAAAGACGCTGTAACAGACCAAGGAGTGAAAACAGCTAAAAGTGCGCTCTTAGAAGCTGTCAGCGCACGATTTAGTCAGGCGGACTCAGAACCTATGAAATGCATCGCGACTGAGCTTGATCCACGATATAAAGATCATTACTTGGATATGGTGAAAAAGCTGCGCACACGAGAAATGATCCAGGCCGAGTTGGACTTGGGAAAGCCGATAAGTGTTGGAGACGGTCAGGTGGTGCACAGCGCAGGAGATGAAAACAGCGCCGAGAGTAAACGGGCTCGTACTACAGATGAGCCGCGCACCGACAGCGAGAGACTGTTTAGTGCTGCATCTCATGTCATCGATGAGAAGAGGAATCGGCTTTCATGTGAGACAGCAGAGAAACTACTTTTCATAAAGAAGAACCTGCCACTTTTTCTGAAGAAGTAGGCTAAGTAGGCTTACTGTATGTCTAGGACAGTTATTCATTTGTTGTCATCCACATTTTTTGCACTATTTAATGCACGTTTGTTGTTGTAGACATACAGTTACATTCTTTCAGCAGCTATTCAAGAAGTGGGGCTTCAAAGATGGCCAAATAAAAATATTTTTTTATTTTACTAATTTATTTATCTTAAGTTATATTGTGCTTTGTTTGTATATTATCTACTGGAATGTTAAAAAAATGTTCAGTGTTAAATAAATATTTTTGAAATAGTATTTTTGTTATTTGATTTATTTCTCTGAAAAGCAACACAAAATAGTAAAAAGCTAATTTTTACTATTTAATTATTGTAATGGTGAAAAAATAGGCAAACTAAAAGGAAAAAAAAATGCAAAACACCGTGTTCGGTATTCGGCCTTCGGCCAAGCAATTCATTATTATTCGGCTTCGGCCAAGATTTTCATTTCGGTGCATCCCTAATGGCGACATAGCGCATATGAGATAAATGACGCCAGTACATAATAACCGGTTATGACTTTTTCTGAACCGATACCGAATTGTCTGCGTCTGCATCGCGGTGCACAAAACAAACTATTAATTTTGACACCCTAACTGATAGCTAAATCTTGTGGTTTGTGTTAGAATCAACACAACCTTCTTAGTTCGTACCAAGTGTAACCTCTCAGAGGAAAAAGTTTCAATTCAGTCTGGCTAGCATAGTTCAACAGCTTGTCCTGTAATATGTAAGAATCAAATCTTACACCAGAACTTGGCTTTGGCAACTTGTGGTTGAAAGTTCCTAATACCAGGTGTAAATAAGACCTTTATTTAATGCAGTATGTAACATGCATTTGCCTTTTTTTGTACAGGTGTAGGAATATTAAATAAGTCCACATGGAAGGGTGGAACTCTGCTCATTCAGTTGGCAAAGGAGAGCTTTCTGCACAGGTAAAAGCTCTTTTCAACCAGTAGATTGGTTAAACTGTTTGTTTGAATTGTTGTAATTTTAAACTATGTAACGTATATGTCTTTTTTCTTTACTTAGACTTGCTGAAGAAAGAGAGCAACAAGTTGAAAAGATCAAGACTCCAAAAATTGCCCCTCAGGAGAAATTAGTGGACTCATTTAAAGCAGCCGGTGTTGAAAACTTTCACATGAAAGCTGCGGTTCCAGGAACTGAAATTCCTGGCCATAAGGTCTGTGGTCAAATTTTTCCTTTTTAACTTTTCTCCAGTTGTTAAAAATGGACCGATGCTGATTAAATATTGGTTATGCATCTTTACCTTTTCAGGATTGGGTGGTGAGTAAATTTGGGAGGGTCCTTCCTGTCTTGAATCTGAAATCTAAAGGAAAGAACAAGATATCCTTTTTTGAGTTGATTATTTTATAAATTTTACTTGGAAACATTCATAAAGATAAGTTTGCAGTTGTTAAAATGCTCTTTTGCTTGAAGGAAAAAGTCACTGAGATCATAAAACAGCTTAGTTGATCAAAGTCATAGATCTGGGATCACTAGAATGAAAGCACAAGGATTTTACACAATTTAATTCACTATCTACCCTTAACTCTCATAAAACGTCTTCAAATATGATCCGTCCAAACACTGTCATAACATCAAGAGACTTGAGATAGCGGACGATTTCACATCAGTGTCCGAACTGACATGGGAGGTTGAAGGTGGAGATGATGAAATCAGCAAGAAGAGGAGAGGAGAGTTTCCAAAGCAGAAAACCAGTCCCAAAAGATCCAAAGTAGACTTGAGTTTGTTTCTTAGCAATGGAATTAATGCGCCTGCATCTGGAAACAAAAACAAAATCCTGCAACGTGACCTTCCTGCTACCAAAACAGAACAACCAGTTGTTAAAAAATCAGTTTGTGTTTTTGACAGCGATGTAGACTCGGAAGACGAAATCAAGATGTTGGTTGCTCAAGAACATTTGAGGAACTCCAAACCAACCTTTACAATGGATGACGAGGACAACTTGGAGGTGGTGGGAGATGATTTTGTTGTGAAATCCAATGCTTTCTGGATTGGAGCAGAACAAAGTGATGTAAAATCACTGCTAACTTCATCAAAGGACGATGAAGAATACGACTCTGCAGACACTGATGAAATCCTCACCAACAGA